CATACCAATATTCCTAGCGCAACCTGCTCATGCAATACACCTTTCTACCTTGGGCAGTACCGTGGCAGATCATCGGCGCCCACTAGCCAAGGATGAGCCACCGAATCAACCACCCAGGCACTAACGTACTATAGGTACATTCAAGCTAAGCCGTGGCGGCCAAAGCTAGGCTTGAATGCGCGATGATGTCATTTCATTTCATTCGAACTTCCTTTCTCATCGTCCTCTGTCTCGGATACTCGGGCAACAGACCAAGCAAGCGCGGCCGTCAATATCAGGAACGATCATGGGATCGCTTTTTCGACATACCGATTGCGCTTACCATAAGATTCACCAACAATGAGAGTATATGTAAGAACTTCTGAGCAAATATCAGGCAATTGGCTTCGCGGATATATTCCCCGGTGACCATACACGATTTCCTGTATTTCTCCAACGCACGTCTCATTCGAGCCTATTGACAGCAACAATAGTTCCGATTTCACGATCCAGACAACACAAGCTAGACAGTTCACCGGAGAAATAATTTCCCTGGCAGCCACTGGGAGATCCTGCTCTCAGCTTCCCAGAACTACGATTTATATACTAATCGACCAAGACCCCACCACCATGGCTGGCACATGAGCGGGCTCAGCCGCACTTCTCCCGACATGATATTCTCCCTGAAAGCTTGAAGTGATACTAAATTCCTAGACTCCGAACCTACTAGACGAGATGCATACTGACTCCAACCAAGATCAACAGTCATGCGGGGCGTATGGGGGCCAGACCAGACCACGTTGCGAGTATGTCTTGCAGATACTTAGGATTTGGTCAATCACAGGGGAGTAAACAAGTAAACCCACCTCCTGAACCTTGAACTAGCCCCGCAGCTGAGCTGTGTCTCTTGCGCTAAATCCAATCCAACATATGCCGTGACTGGTTCATGGAGCGGGAGTAAACAACTCACGATACTGGCTTTGCCAGACACCATACAATAGTCAATATAGACAGAACATGAGTAAATGCCATACAGCGCAAAAGCAAATTCAACGCTCATTCAATAAGAGTAAAAATTAAAAAAGGAAAGAAAAGAAAACAAGAGCATCAAAAAGTACACCAACCCTTAACAAACCGCCCCGCAAACCTCCTCACACTATCATCAAACAAGTACAACGGCACCACCAACGCCAAAACCACCCACTGCACAGCAGCCAACTCCCAAAAAGCCTTGACAATGCCATCACGCCCCACCCAACCAGCACCCGAGACCGTCACTCCAAACGCAACGATATTCTTACCCGCATTGATGAGCACCATGGCCTCGCTTCCGGACTGCGGATACACATCCATGATATAAGACATGGTGACTGATGGAACGAAGACAAGAGCTGCTGCTTGCATGGCGTATGCGGTGGCAGAGACGTATAATGATTTCTCTCTTGCGATTGCGTACGCGAAGAGGATCAAGCCTGGAGGTGCGATCAGGAAGGGGACGATGAGTGCGGGCATGCGGTCTTTTGGGTGGTGGGTGTTGTTGATAGTGGTGGTGGTAGTGGTAGTGTGTCTTCTGTGCGTGGCGGCCCATCTGGCGAGGAGGTCGGTTAGGGGACCGGCGATGGGATAGCCTATAACGATGCCGAGGAAGGAGGAGAGTGTGTAGACGCCGATTGCTGAGGAGGAGAGGTGGTATGGTGGTGCTGAGAGGAACTGGGGGCTGATGGCGGAGATGAGGACGATTCTGGGGGTGGTGCTTGTTGGTTAGCTTGTAATATATATAGATAGTAGCCTTTGGACAGGAGATGTACGAGTAGGAAGACTGAATGATTTGCGAACAGAGAAAGAGTATAAATTACCCCGAAAGAAAGATGCCATAGGCGATCGTCGCAAATAAAGCAATCGGCACACAAAGGAACCGAAATGGGAGGGAAAACTGCCCAGGCCAGCATTTCAGTCCTTCAGGCTCGAGACCGCGATCTCTAAATGAGATTAGATCCTTCCAGTAATTCCTTGGAGAAGGTTCGTTCTCTCTCTGTTCGACAGTTTGTTCCACCTTCTTTTCGACTTCAGCGGCATTGCCATTCCCATCTTCGGCAAAGCAACGCCGGAAGGTTGTTTCAGGCAAGAAGAGGACTGAAGTCAAGAAATTGACTGCACCGAGGATCGCGCAAACGACGAAAAACCATCTCCAGCCTTTGTCACCGATAACAAACCCGGCGATCATAGGGCCGACTTGAGATCCAGCGCAAAGCGATAAGGCGAAGAGAGCCATGGCGGTTGCGAAATACCGCTCCGAGAAGAGATCTATAGTACCATACAACGGGTTATATAAATGAAAGGTATACAGACAAAAGACTAGTCGAAATGTACTTACTTACCAGCGATAATAGACGGTCCAAGAGCCTCGACAGACCCAGCCCCTAGATTACCAATGAAGGGAGCTCACAGGATAGTAGTGATTGTAGGTACTACGCACCAAATGAAGCCACGATTCTGGAAGCTAGTAGATCTTTGAAGCTATTCGCTTTGATACTCCATGTGCATCCGGCTAGGAAGACTAACATGGAGATCAAGATCACTGGCCGCTTACCGATGCACATTGCTGTCGGCATCCAAAAGAGGTTGGAAATTCCGAGTGCGAATACAGGCCAGGCGACAAGGCCAGTAAGCGTGTCAAATTCGACGTGGAAGTCCTGAGCCAATGCAGCAAAGCCTGTGGAGAGGCCTGCTGCGTATAGGTTTCCGATGAAGACATAGAAACAAATGTTCATCAGGATGGCGCAGCGGAGTCGGGTGCTCCAACACTAGTGCATCTTAGTACTCGGATTGTTTGATGTAAGAGGATCTGTATATAGACGTAAAGAGTACCTTTGGGTCATTAGAAAAACCAGGGTCATTGTGCATCTTGATGTAGGGTATGTATCTGGATCGAGGCAAAATCGCATTGGCAACTCGAAATATATGTATGTATGCAGTTCCATTTCGTCTCCACATTCCGGACTCCCAGAGTGAGCTATGCAAAATCCCTCAAGAAGTCTACTTGCTCTAGTAAGTTCTTGTGCATCAAGATCAGCGAGTTCTGTCATTTGCGCATTGACACCTACGGTCTGCTCTAATGGCTTGCTGCATGATCGTCGCTTCCCCATCGGCCCCTTCGGCCCCGTCGGGATCTATAACTTCAGATGTTAGAAAGATTCTTGGATTCTACCACTAGGCTTTCGGGACACATCTATCCCCGCCAGCTTAGCATAAAACTAATTGCCGATCCCCCACCGGCTTCCCAGTTCTGATCGCATTCCGTTGAGAGGGCGGCGGGGGATGTACAGGTGTATATCGATATAACTTCCATCTGACAAACGGCGAAGTAACATAATGAATAGCCGGTGATTAAGGTATCTCTAACTCTCGTGTCCTGTATTCCCGTTTAGAACCCCAGTCCTTCGTCACTCCAACATTGTACACCCTGCCAAAATGGATTACCTATTCTATGACATCTTTAAAGATGGGAAGACCCTTGACGACGCCCCACTCTCCTTACTTCGCAAAGAGTCCGAGTTCGCCTGGGCTTCAACCTATAGCGGGGAGACTACTCGATTCTTCCCCTCCATAACCGACGAAGAAAACAAGGTCAATGGAGCGGTCGTGCATTGGAGAGGCATTGAGAGCCCAGAACGGGCTGAGTCCATTAAGCAGGAGGTGCCGTGGATTAAGCATGGGTTTTCAGACGCCAAGGTCATCCCCATTGGAAATTTCACTTCGGTGTCTAAGCTCTTTCACCAAGGAGGAATGTATCTGCACTGTAAGCCAGTGCAACGTCTGCAGCCTTTTACCACCGACCCGTGTGTGACATGGTATGCTGTTATTATCGCCAGGGATGCATCGTCATACGATGCGTTGTTTGGGGAGAGGGATGCATTGCACTGTGTCAGGCTTTGGAAAGGTATGTAATTAGATCTTTGCGAGAACTATTATGTCTTTTCTTTTCTGGTCCACCAATGGCTCACGGCTTTTCGGAATAGGTGGGATAGCCGAAGAGGTGTTTGATGTGGTTTATCCACAGCAAGGCAAGGTAAATTGATCGGGACTGCGGTGCTGTAACAAGAAAAGGGCTAACTGGTGAAACTCAACAGGTTCTTCGTCTCAAAGCGAATGATAGAGCAGAGGTAAAACAATACGTGGAAGAGATCACTTCCTTGAGCGAAGGTGCAGCAGAGGTGGACATACTCCGAGCGAAATCGCACATGGCCTGGGAGATTTTCTTCTAATCTTGAAGTAAAAGCAACAATAGTCAATTGATGGCCCTACAAAACTTGGGAAGTAGGTGCTGCCGCTCAAATGGCATATACTGATTTTATACTAATAGTAGTAGCTCTGATTAAGTCCGGTAGTAAGTAGGTTGCAGATATTCATATGATTGATGGCAAGACCACAGTACTACATTGTAACAAAGAATCACGTAGATCCCACCGGCACTTGATTTCATTGGATACAGATCCAATCTCAATTTCGTGCTACGTACACTAAACGCCGCGACGCTCTCTTAATGCCAGTTCGACTTATGCTCAGAAGTATGTCACCTTGATATATCAGCCGAGCCACAAAAAATCAGAAAGAGATCCGCCCAAGGAAGTAATCGTCACAGATACAGTATATGGTCTTAGCTTCGGCAGGGGCTGCAAGGACCTGTTGTTGACTGTCGGGACATTCACTGTAGCCAGACACCATCTGAATCTTTTGTCACCTCTGCTGCCTATATGCTCTCACACCACCACCACCACCACCACCGTCAACATCATTGTTTTGAGAGGTTATGAGGCCCGTCTTGCTGGCATCAAGTTACCCACAGCAGAAAGAACACGAGCTTTGACGGCAAACAAGACATAGAGCCTACGACCACCGAAACCAAGGTGGTGAACAGAGGGATGCGCAGTTGTTGGTGTTGACCAACTTCTACCATTAATCAACATCCATCCAAGGCTAATACTCGCTGCCAGTGCTCCAATTGGTCGATCTACATCAAAATGGCTTCCCGGAAGGGACGCACGGTCTCCTTGAAGGGCATCTCGCGTACCATGATAATTCCTCCAAAGGTGCCCACGCAAGCGGACAGAATACCCGACGATCTACCTGACTTCACTCCCGGCGTGCCACTTATACTGAAAAACACCCTCGACTTCCCAGACTGGGACGTTCAGGTCAGACAGATACTTGAGAACGTCGGATTGTAGGACCTCGTCGACTCTGACCTTCCACACCCGAAACATGACCACAAGGCTTACACCAGATGGCGGGATTGCTCGAAAGCCGTGCAGTCGTGGCTGACTGGGCAGATATCCGATGGAGTCCTGTTGAGGTTTAGATTGACTCTTGGCAAGAAAGGCTTTGCCGATGAAGCATACAAGGTGATAAAAATGATCATACTAGAGCACGGTATTGTGAGGTGTGAGAATGTTGTGTATGATTTAGTTAAAAAGACACGTGCCGATTATTCAACTACAAGCCAGTATGTTGAAGTTTTCAAAAGCAATTACGTACTCGCCAAAGAACTCCATTGCGGCCTACCTCCGTTTACCGCGTCGCTCTTGATGCTGAGGGAGATCCGTTATGACTTTCCTGCCTGGGTGGCAAGTGTGGAGTATGTAATGCCTGTCTACGTGGGAAACACCTATACAGACGATGATTTCTTCACTCTTTGCAGCGTCGCGATCGAACTCTGTGCCGTGAAGCGCCTGCTAAGGATGTCTCCACTCTCCGCTACTGGCGCCGTCACTGCTCCGCATCCTGAAAACGATGCTTGAAATACCAAGAGTCGCCTATCTAGGAAGAGACTACGACCTCAACAATATCTCTTTCGAATGTTCCCTTGCTTAGGGGGCCGTGTTGAGGCGATACCAAACACTAGTATGTGAGGTCTCGTGGTCACGACACGCACACTAAACATCCCTTCCATGGGCGCCTTGTTCCGTAGCGCTTAGATAGAAATACAACACAATGTTCTCTGCCACTCCGTTTTTGTCTGTAGCAGTACTTTGAGCTCGATCATACTTTCTTAGCATTAACCAACCATTGGACCGTCCCGGGATGATCGACGTCGGGCAGCACGAGCCGTATGGTAGTCACTAGCCGGCGGAGCTAGCTGCCGGGATCACCTGGACCCACGGGTTATTTCAGCTGAAGCCATGAAAGCAGTCTCTCACTTCTATTCTCGCAATCCGTCTGCTTTATAACGAAAACTTTGAACAAAGCATCAATCTGTGGACAATTATCGACCGTACACTACGTCCATACAGAGACATCATGTCTGACCTATTCATGGCCGGGATCACTATCGTCCCCGGGTGCCGGACTAGCTATTCGTCCACATACAAAATCCCGAGCCTGCCTTGTAGATCAGTGGGTACCACAGAGGCCCTGCACCTCTGACAATCTGATGATGACTTGTTTGCTTCTTTCTTCCGAAGACTAATCTTCGGTCCATTGATAGACTTATGCGAGTGCCAGCTGAAATGGGTTTGTTGAGCTGCACCACGGACAAAATGGCCCCCGGTCTGCGCAGAGACTTACTGAAAGGTGGGCAGAGCCCCGGAGTTCATTCTCCCAGTTTTTGTCTTGGCTAGCAGTTCAACCTTTTACCCCAGCTGTTTGAGACCGACTTGTGACTTTTCGATGATTGTTTTCCTTCCGTATTCTGGATGAATCAGATCGCTGGCCGAAAACCCTGTTCGTAACCATCATTGCGGAGACGATAGATGATTACATGAATACACCATGGCCGACAGAGACGAGAACGAATTGAATACCAATGGGGAAGGAATTGGGAGAGATTCTATTTCGACCCACGGGTGGTCCGCTTCTTCAACATTCTTTTCTAGTTCCCGAGTGATGGGCGAGGAAGATGTCTTCAGAAGCGGCAATTTCAGCGAGGACACTTTCAGGGAGTTGAATCTCTCGCATGTGCGATCGAGCTCTGAATACTCATCCAGGTCACGCGCTGTCGAAGACGCGGCCGTCCACGAGTTCATTGCGACTGGAGATGGTAACAGGAGCCAGTTTCCATTCTATCAAACAGAGTCAACATCTCAATTCTTCTCGACGTCTAGGACTGTTGAAGAGCATGCTGAATCAAGGCAGTCCGAGGTGGTAGAAAGAAACTTCTCCTCCAGTATGCAGTTTGGTTTCTCGAATGATCCATGGGCATCAAGGGTCACTGAACGGGAGGTGGCTCCTGAGGCGCGAATCTATAGTGGAAATATCGAAGGATTGTCTATGAACTCAGAAGGGCATGGCCTGTTTCAAAAAGATGCTGGAGCACTGCAGTCCGGGATGGCAGAAAGAAATATCTTTTCTGACAACACCCACTTGGGGTTCTTGGATGCTACATCAGCATCAATAGATGCTAATCGGGAGGTGGCTTCTGGAGTGCGAACCTATAGTGGATATACGGAAGGCACGGCAGTTGTAGCTCAAGTGGATAATGCGTCTAATCAGAATGCTGAAGCAATGCAGTCTGAAATGATGGAAAGGAACATCTCTTTCTCCAACCCGCAGTCGTCGTTCTCGGATACTATATCGACTTCAGGACTCATTCAAAAAGAGGCGGCTACTGAAGCACAATTCTACGGAGAATATGCGGAAGAAATGTCAAAACAAAGGCGAGATATTTTTCAAGAGCGTGCTGGAGCTATGCAGTTTGACATGCCAGAAAGTTCTATCTCGTCATCTACTATGCATTTGAGAGGCCCAAATGCAATATCAGAACACAGACTCGCTGAAAGAGGAGTGGCTGCTGAAGCGCAAATCCATGATGGATATATGGAAGAAACGCCAACTCAAGGGCAGGATACGTCCTCGGGGCTCCTGTCCACGTCGCGGTTTGCCCAGGGGATTCCTCAAGCACAGGGGACCGAATCATCTGAACAAAGCACCATACCATCACATACTGAGTCTAGGATAGAGACCAATGAATTGGAGGACCGCAATGGCGTAACGAACCATACGGACGGCCACAACGACACGATAGTTCATGCACAGACCGCTTCATCGGAATTAATGTTTACAGAAACCCTGGAGAACGTAGGGGCTGAAGCCGACGTTGATAATCCCCCCTTTCAGACTGTGACACCGGATCTTGCTCCCTGGGAAACAAGAATCAAGATAATGAATGGAACCACTAAAACAAGCGAAAGAAGAAAAGGGACCTTTCTCATATCACACGCGGAACCTACGTCGTCCCCACTAACCATCGCACCCGCAGTGAAGGAGCAAGAGATGGAAAGTGGGATAACCGACTCTCGAGAAGCCAAAGAAGACGATACTTATGCGACTGCTAGGCATATGGACCAAAGTGTGTCTATTAGCCCTGCGATAGTGCCTGACCAAAGAGTAACGGAGGAAGATGAGGCTTCAGGAAAAGCAGTTGAAGAAGACCCTTTTCTATTTCATACTGCGCCCGCTTCGTCCTCGGAAGTGGTGCACACAGTAGAAGAGAAAGAGGTATTATGCGACATAAACCATCATGACAGCATTGCGGTTGATAAGGGAAATTCGACATCCGAAGCTGGATCTCTATCAGGAAAACAATCCGGGATGGGAGACGAAAAGAATAGCAAGACCTTAATACGTACAAAGACTTGCGCTGCACTGGATCCAACCGAAAAACTACATCTCACCAAGCTTGCAAATGATCAAGTTGTTGCTCGTGTCACTCAATTGACCAATGTCTCGCCCGGCGAGCCGTATCTTAACCCAGAGAGCCGAGATTTCAGTTTATACAGGTGGCTCAGAAAGATGATGTGCATGCTTAACCGGGGCACACATAACGACCTATCGGCAACGACATTTCAAAACCTGCATGTTCTAGGATTTAGGCCCGAGGCTCGTAAATTGACGCCTCTGAGCGTCTTCTCTGCCCTACTGCGGCCGCGAGATACATTCAGTCTGGGCCGGAAATCCCCCAAGAGTATCGTACGGAATCTAAACGGCGTCATAAGCAATGGGGAACTGCTGCTTGTGTTAGGACGACCTGGAGCAGGGTGCAGTACGGTCGCAAAAACATTGTGTGGGAAGCTTGATGGCTTGAAGCTAGATCCTGAATCGGTCTTCCATTACCATGGCATTCCACATCAACAGACACTGGAGAATGTCAAGAGAGCAAGTCTTTACAACTGCGGAACCGACAAGCACTTTCCATATTTGACAGTTGGCCAGACTTTGGAGTTCGCAGCATCAATTCGAGCTCCCACCGAAAGACTTCAGGGAATAACACGGACAGAATATGCAAAAGCTATAACGAAAGTTGTTGTAGCCGTGTTCGGTCTGAGTCACACGTTTAGCACTAAAGTCAAAGACGTGACAGAGGGTGAGCGCAAGCGAGTTAGTATTGCCGAGATAATCCTGTCGGGAGCATCTTTAGCTGCATGGGACAAGTCAACTCAGGGCCTAGCTTCAACAGAGGCATTGAAGTTTGTGCAGTCTTTGCGGCTGGCAGCAGATTTGGGTTCATCTTCCCATGTTGTGGCCGCATATGAAGCTAGCGAAGCAATGTATGAACTATTTGACAGGACTCTGTTGTTGTACGAAGGCCGTCAGATATTCTACGGCTCTTCGTCTGAGGCTAAAGGCTTTTTCGAGCGCCAAGGGTGGTATTGCCATCCACACCTGAGTACTGCCGAATTCCTAACTTCAATTACCAATCCAACGGAGAGACAGCCACGTCGGGGTATGGAGAACAGAGTTCCCCGAACCCCGAAAGACTTTGAGACGTACTGGTGCCAGTCCCCAGAGTATCAAGAGCTACAGAGGGAGATGAGTGGTCATAAGCAGATTGTGGGTTCTCACTCGAGAGAACGCCTGCTCGACCCTGAAATGGACGAAGAACAGAAACAGCTAGGAAGGACGCCGTCTGATTCGCAGTACCCCAGCATGATGCTGCAAGTAAGACTCACTACTGTTCGCGCTTTTCAGCGGGCTTGGAACGAACGTGCTTCAGCAGCATGCAAGATCACAGTGAACTTCATTATAGCCCTGCTGATCGGCTCAATGTTTTATTATACACCTACCACGACCGCCGGATTCTTCTCGAAGGGCTCCGTGCTTTTCTACCTAGTGATGCTCAACTCCTTCCTGCCACTAACCGAGTTGAGCATTCAGCTTTCTCAGCGTCCAGTGGTGGAAAAGCATGCCTCATTTGGCTTCTATTATCCCATGGCCGAATCACTCGCTATTCTATTGAGTGAAATCCCCAAGAATCTTCTTCTCGTCCTGGTGAACACTATTGTCATATACTCCATGAGCAACCTTCGCCGCGAACCTTCGCAATTCTTCATATGCTTCCTGATCAACTTCGTGTTGATCCATGTGGCTAATGCAGCCTTCCGGATGACGGCAGCAGTGACGAAGACACTTGTGCAAGTACAAGCCCTCGCTGGGATGCTGGTACTTTGGGTTTTCATATTTACGGGCTTCATTATCCCGGAGCCTCGGATGCCTCATTGGTTCGAATTTGTCCATGATATCAACCCCATCTTTTACGCATATGAAGCCCTAGTCGCCAACGAGTTCCACGGTCGGGAGTTTAGTTGTGCTGAATTCGTACCCTCTCGACCCAACCTCCAGACGAATGCATATGTCTGCGCAGCCGTGGGAGCTGTTGCTGGACATCCTACTGTTAGTGGTGACGACTATATCTGGCAGACTTACAAGTATACCTACGACCATGTGTGGAGAAATTTTGGTATCCTTATTGTTTTCCTGGTCGGTTGGATGGGTCTTTATTTCGTTGTAACGGAGTTTATTGCACACTCAACTATTCATTTCGGAAGTAAATCGGCTTACCTCAGGCACGAAGAGTATCGCAAAGAGGACGAAGAAGCTGGAAAAGGCTCGGTGACTCCAGTCCAAGCTACCACTGGCAATGTGAGACAGAATTATTTCAGTTTCATTGAACCTCAGCGAAATGACTTGAGCTGGCGCGATGTGGTATGCGAAATCCACACAAATAGTGGAAACTTTCGGATTCTGGACCAAGTGACTGGTTGGGCCAAGCCAGGGACGATCACGGCGTTGATGAGCCATAATAACAGTGTCCAGAATGCTGAACTACTGAAGGTGTTGGCGCAGCGTTTCACAACAGGTACTGTTAGTGGAGACATACTCTTCAACAACTGCCTTCTGAGCTCGAATTTCCAGCGGAAGATAGGCTATGTTCAACAACAGGGTATCCATTTGGAAACGGCAACTGTTCGCGAGGCTTTGCGGTTTAGCGCAGTGCTACGACAACCACACTCCGTCTCCAAGGAGGACAAACGCACTTATGTTGAGCAAATAATCAAGGCACTGGAAATGGAGGACTATGCCGACTCTGTCGTTGGAGTGGTTGGAGAAGGCTTGAACGTCAAGCAGCGGAGAATCTTGAGTATAGGAGTGGAATTGGCTGCAAGACCAGAGATTCTGTTCGTGGAAGAGCCTGTCAGGTAAGCTTTGCAATTGGCATTTCATGCATAGAGCAGGAGCTAATGTTTAACAGCGGTCTCGACGTGCAAAGCTCACGCGCAATTTACCGTATTCTCCAGAAGTTGGCAGACGCCGGACAGACGATAATCTGCACGCTGCAACCCAGCACGATGGCATTTAGGCAAGTAGACCAGCTCCTATTCCTCTCCGCCGAGGGTAGAACTGTATACTTCGGATCCACCGGCGAGAATGCGCAGCCTTTGCTAGACTATCTCGAATCCAACGGCGCTCCCCGGACCCTCAGACAAGACGAAAATGCCGCCGAATACATCGTCGAGATCCTCTCCAGCGCCACCAACAAACACGGGGAGGCCTGGTCCGATATCTGGGCCAAAAACAACCAAGTTGACCCCATCCACGAAGAATTCGCGAGTGTTCACACGCAGAACAACAACCCAACAGACAGCAAAGAATTCGCTACCTCCCTACACCTCCAATTCCCCATCGTCTTCCGCCGAACCCTCCAACAATACTGGCGCTCACCCCTCTCCATCCTATCAAGAATCCTCCTCCAAATAAGCGCCGTCCTCATCATCACCTTCTCCTTCTACAAACACGGCACCTCGATCAGCGGCCTCCAAGAAACCATCTTCGCCACATTCATGATCTGCACTCTCTTCGTTCCCATCGTCCACCAAACCCTCCCCTTCCTCACCAAACACCACACAATATACCAAACCCGCGAACGCCTCACCAAAACCTACTCTAGCAAAGTCCTCATCCTATCCCTCATCCTCACCGAACTCCTCTACCAAATCCCCCTCAGCATCTGCATCTGGGCAATCTACTACTACCCCATCTCAAACACCACCACCCAATCATCCCCCCGCCAAGCCCTCGTCCTCCTCTTCTTCATCCAATTCTTCCTCTACGCTATCTCCTTCGCCCTCCTCACCATCTCCACCTCAACCCTCATAATAGCCATCTGCTCATTCATGGCGCTCACCTTCAACGGCGTCATGCAACCACCCCAAGCCCTCCCCGGCTTCTGGATGTTCATGTACCGCATCTCCCCGTTTACCTACTTCGTCGCCGGCGTAACTTCTACCCAGCTTCATGGCGTTGCGGTTAATTGCAGCAGTGCTGAGATGGCGGTGTTTAATCCGCCTTTGGGACAGACTTGTGCTCAGTATCTGGGTGAGTATCTGAAGACGGTGCCCGGGCGGTTGATGAACCCGGAGGCGATGACGAGTTGTGAGTATTGTCCGTACTCGGTTGCGGATCAGTTCCTCGCGGAGAGGGAGTATCGGTTTGATCGGAGGTGGATGGATTTTGGTGTCGGGTGGGCTTTTGTGGGGTTTAATCTGGGGGTTGCTGTGTTGGTTTATTATCTCTTTTGGGGGAGGAGGTGGAGGTGGAGGTTGGGGGTTTTGGGGAAGGTTGTGGGGGTGGGGAGGAGGATTAGAAGGTAGGGTGGTACCTGTCCTGGCTGTTTGATGATGCTCAACACAGTTTCTACACTTATCTGCCTTATTAACTGACTAATTGCAAAAAAAAAAAAAAAAAAAAAAAAAAAAAAGCCATTTTTCAGTTTCTCAAACGATTAGAATATTAGACCTTCTAATACATGCCTTTTCGAACTCTTTCTCTCGGGGATGTGATGGAGGGCGGCAAAAGTATCTTACTAGCAGGTTTAGAAGGCAGCAAGCTGGAGTATTCAGAACCTGATTCTTGCTGCCTGCCACAGTTGTTGGCGTCACCGGAGCGCTGGCGGCCCCCGGCTTTGCAACGGGCCCAATTCTCTTGGGTATAGGTTTTACGATGAGTGGTATATAAGCAGGCATGTGGTAGAAAGGCCAAACTTCTCTCTATCTCTTGTGCTATAAAGATTGAGTAACCATGTGTTTCTGGCACACAGGGTCTGTGGCCGCAACCGCCCATAGCTGGATTGGAAACATTGTAGCGGGTAGCGCGATGGCTATAGGACAAAGTGCTGGTGCAGGAGGAAATGGGTTAGTCATTATTAACGGAGCTGCACAGTTCGGACGTGCTGCAATGACTGTGGGAAGTGCTAGTCTAGCATGGATCAAAGCTAAATTATGATTCCCATATTCCTTCAACTGATGGCTCAAAGTAAACTCGCTAAACTTTCCTACAATCATTAGTTCTGCTCGCTGAAAGTAGTTCCGGCGCTCTGTACTCTTGCTCCCGCTATATTAATGCATTACTGGAGAAGCACGACAAACCCCTCTCCGTCTTGGCTGTTATTATTTGGGACATGATCAAAAGTATCGCAAACACTCATCTATTGCTGCTTTTCTAGGGGCAAAAAAAGACATTGGCATACCAATATGGGAACGAAATAGAATCATCACCACTGTAACCACAAGCCCTAGCAGCAAATTCAAACTCGTGATCGTTTCTGCAAGTCGGTAGGTCTGACCATTCCCTCTTCAATATGCGTTGACACTCTCCATTACCTGCTTTCTCATCCGCTTCCTTAGCAGCATCGAACATGTACCGAAGCACTGCCCGACAGCCCATCTGCGTCCCAGCGCGTCGCAGGTAGTTCTTGGTATCCGGTGGCCACTCGCTCCGATTGTTACAGCGCCACTCGATATTTGCAGCAGTAGGAGCTCTTCCAGAATTGAGACACTCCACAGCAATTCGGAAAATATTTACAAAGCCTTTTCGCAGTGATTTGTTGGTTTTGAGGTTCCTTCGCACATCGGGATCGAGGTGCACGAGGGTGTTGTCGTTGTACCGTACCCAAAAGCTGCCATCATCAATATCCTCCTGATGGAGGTCGTAGTTGGTCTCGCCCTGAAAAATCAAAGAGCTCCTCATTCGGGGGGATAGAAATCCTTCTAAGCACCCTCCACATGTACATCCGTATCGGAGGCGTGTTTTATCACGCCCTGAAGCATCGCGTCCCAACAACAAGGATAGACAGGACACTGCGGTGTCAGGATACCCTTTGAAGTGATCTGACACATTCAAGATTCTGAAAAGGCCATATGGCTTTTGTGTACGCATTGTCTCTAACTTCTCCTGTAATGCTCCGAGTGGTGTGTACCCGTTAATATCACGGGCTGTCTTCCAGGAGTTGGCGTGGTGAATATTCTCCAATAGCCACCCTGTGCTCAGGGGTTTGAGCTCGGATGCCGTTAAATGCAGAAGCGTGGCTTCAGAATTGGTCACTCGTTCCCAGCCAAGCTCATCAGAGGCATGCAAGACGAAAAAAAGCTCTGAGTTCTTCATCCATCAGAGTAAGAGCCGCGTGATGCAGCGGCGAAGAGTCACGAAGTCTCTCCATTTTCAGTCTCTTTACCTCAGTAGAACGATCTGCTTCATAGATAACTTCCAATTCTTCGTCCTCAAGATCTTCAGCATGGCTTCTGCGCGGATCGAAATCAGAAGTTACCGCAAGGGTGCGAGATTGATGTTGGAGATCGAACGAATATGCAAAACATCGAGATGCTCCGATTCGGCGGAAACCGCACGATCGCCAAAAGTCAATGGCTCCGGATTGAACTCGAACCCGCGTCATTAGGCGTTCTTCTGCAGACTTGTCCCCTAATTGCGATTCGATATCAGCTGTTAGTATTCCGGGGCTGACTAAAGCATGTAGAGTCCATGCTCGTTCAAACGCCTCGTTAGAACCGTAGATAAAATCTGCGTTCTCACCGTCTGGCTTATCGTCTAGCCAGAACCGCTTGGCCTTTTCCAACAGCAAAGACACTACTCTCTGTCCCAGCCCTTTCCGACGGAGTTCCATTGCTGTAACATGAACTTTTTCGATTAGGAAAAGAGGGCCATGATCAAGCTCTTTTCCCCATATACCAGTTCCTCTTTGAACTGGGTGGTCCTTATACTTAGTCTTGACTGTTCCGTACCGATCAAAGATATGGAAGGCCACATCGCACGTTTCCTCACTGGGCTCTTCCATCCTTTCCCAGAATTCAGAGCGCATGCCCTCTCGATCAATATACCGAGCCAGAGCGCTTGCGACAGCGACACCATCGCAAGTGCATTTGACGACAAAGTTTTTTCATCCATTTGGATCCGCCTACTTGTTCGTCGGTCAAAAAGAGCCGAATCTTCAGCGTTCGTGCCGGGTCACCGGAGGCGGTATACTCGTGCTCTTCAATGTCCTGTTCACGATCCATTTCTTCGCTATCATCGCTGCTCTCATCTTCCTCCCACCATTCTTCTTCCTCGGAGTCATCGAATTCATCGGTTCCAATGTCATCTTCCGTCGACCCATCGTCTTCGAAGTCCATTCCTGATCGCCAAAAGAAAGTCAGTATAACTCACGTAGCTTATGTGTTGGCGGGAGGATAGGGGAGTGCGAAGAACGCACTTTTTCGCTTGAGGGATACTCGGTTTCCCTTCCCTGGTTCCCCGTCGTTTTCCATGCTTATTATGAACTTTGCTTCCTGGCCTAATGTGGGCGAGACCTTTACGAGGTAGGAGAAGATAGGCTGGCGGGTGGAGAGACAAAAGTGAAGTCTGCCAACATTCGAGGGCATGTATGGCATGCTGTACTTAAATAGGCGGCAGACCCAAAATGGATGACAAAGAATATTGTGCACTTTCCAATATTATTGGCTTCATCCTCGATAAGAAAGTACTAAGTTACTTCCGGGGCAGGGATTCTGGATGCGTGTGGCTCAGCAGCGACATGCTTTTAATGATTAGTTTTGCCCGTTCCCAGCTTGGTGCCAAACCCCCGTCTTTCACTCTGGCCCCCACCAACTGCTGCGCCTTCCTTTTCAGCCTGATGCACTGCCTCCCTCTCCCCCATTCTTATCGGAGATGCCGCTCGGGGGTTTCAGGAGCAACAAAGCTCCCCGGATCGACGACTCACATCACATGTTTCTGGAGCTGACGGAAGTGCTCTATAAGCCTATGTTTATCTCTGACCACCAATTCATATAGTACTCTAGTACTTGAAATTATAACGATATTTATTCATTAGTATTCTTGTCCTTTGTTTATCTGGAGATTTTATATTCAGCAGGAAATATACCATTGAAAAACTATGCTCCAGTATTAGTCTAATCCTATATTGAATATAAAAGTAGCCATACATGTTATATCTACTTATAAATATTATTATTAATACTGCAGTGACCAGTGGGTAAATAGCTCAAAATATCAATATAGATAATACCATTATTTATTATATAATCAAAATACTTTCTTTCATAATATTATTAATATATCAAAAACGTAATTGAAAAGAATTATACAAATTATTTGATTTTCTAGTAAGAGATAGTCTATGTATCTTGGTTTGATTAAATCATTAAAATATAAATATGATATTTATTGATATATTAATCCTCAAATGCGAATCTTTTGATTATCAATTTATCAGGGGGAAACTTATTTGTACTAGTATTATTCAATCATAATGATTCCTATTGATATTTTGGGCTTGAAACTTGGAGAAAGCTATTTAAGACTATAGAAATAGTTTAGTCTTGCCTGAGTATCTTTACAAAAGATTGAATCAGTCTAAACTCTAGAACTAGTATTCATTAACTTGAGATGGACGTATAGATATAAGTGCTATGTAGGAAACAAGGATACAGAGGCTAAGATTTGTATTTTTACAGAAAAGATCTTGGAACATGTATATCAAGGGCGATTGAGGCAGCGGGATCGGGAGGAGGGGAGGAGGGTCTTGAAAGATCCTAGAAGAGGGGGTGGACGGGGTATCTTCTAGATACTCGACCAGGCTGGGCGAGAAGGAGGAGGCCCTGAGTTGGGATGCAGAGGGAAGCTATTTTTAGTGTAATCGTATCCTTTGTGTGCAGTTGGTTTTACTATCTCGGGACTATTGTTTGATGTGAGATTTATTATGGATATGAGTTAATGTAGGTATTATGTATGATGGGGGAACTTAGTATCAGTCTAATAAAATGATTTGTATCTAATCTACGTTCACAGCACACTAGGAAGCAACAACGTATTTCGATTCAATTTTCTCAAACTACCCTACAGGTCAAACGGCCTGACAGATCCCTCCGCTCATCAAGCAAAGACAAGCAGGAACGGTTCCGTCTTCCGAGCGAATTCTGCAAGTAAAGGAAAGAAAATATCGAGGGGAGATTACCCGAACCAGTCGGTATGAACACACATCAAAGGTAGTCCCTCCACAGATATCACCCACCATAGAAGGGCAACTGGTTGTTGTCCGAGAAGAGAGGTAAGCATGAAAGCGACTGAGTAACACGCGTGCAAAGGTATTATACATCGTTCCAGACGATTGTGACCGACGCCTTATGGACCATGGGTTGATCGACTTTGCTTGCTGTATCCTTCTTCTACCAACCAGGAGCGGAACCAACATTCCATTCGCCTTCCTCGGCCGGGGCAGTTTCCTGTTGAGTTCCGCCGTTGTCGTTCCACTCAGTTCCCCCATTGTTGTTCCACTGAGTTCCACCGTTTTCATTCCACTCGTCGTTAACAGGCGCGTTGAAGCTATGGCTGTCGCCGTGAGGGGTGTCCTCAGTGGCATTGGCGGTAGGGCAACGCTTGATGGTATGGCCCACTATAGACAGGTAGATTTAGGTTAGAGCGTGCTTCGTAGAAAGTTAATTACTTGGGGGCAGTCCTTACTTTCACCACAATTGTTGCACTTGACGCGAGAATAGTCTCGCTTCTTGGGGCAGTCACGACTGAAGTGTCCGACTATTGATTATTAGTAGTCTGGACGGTAGAGACCTAAAGTAATGTTTGCGGAATTTACCCTCATCACAGTTACGGCAGGTAACAGTAGAGACATCGCGCGGCTTGTCACATTCTTTCGCAACGTGATCCTCGGATCTGCTTCGTTAGGAGATGTGGATGAACCAGGGGAATAGCTCTTTCAAACTTACCCGCAGTTGCGGCAGGTTCTGGGAGGTGGTTTCTGAGGACAATCCTTCGCGAAATGTCCCACTAGATTATACGGTCAGTATATAGCAAACGAGGAACTGACATGTTGGAGCCTTACTCTCGTTGCATCGCTTGCATTCAACATTCTCTGCAGAGCGAGGGTTGGGGCATTCTGATGCCTTGTGGTCCTCCGAGCTTGCTATCGTCAGTAAAGAACTCCCAGGCCTCGCAAAGTGAGCTTACCCGCAGTTACGACAAGCAAAAACATTGCGACGTGGCTCAGGGCAATCGCGAGCACGATGTCCATCAGCACTGCAGTTGACGCATTTAACGCCGACACGCTCACGTTCTTCGCGCTCCTCCTTACAGCCACGAGAAGTGTGACCCAATGCTACAAGCCGTTAGCATATAGAGACAGATGGAGCCACAGTTTGTAGCGTACCGCCGCAATTGTTGCACTTGGGGACCTGTCGATCGTAAGGCAGACCGGCGTCAGCAAGACGTTCAAGATTGTCCTCGACGGAAGACGGCCAGCGTTCTCTGAGGTTGGCGCGCTGCGGCTTAGGGCTATAGAAAAAGCCGACCACGTATGTGCAGTTCAGCTTCCCCTGAAGATCAATGAGGCTGATACAATCGTTAACCTCCTTGTCCTAGAGGGTGCCATAGAGTCAGCGTGCGTGCTTCTTAGTGCTTCAGCGTGCAGAGAAGACGAATGTCCTGACTTACCAGTGCAATAAGGTAGAAATTGAGGTCCTCTTCACGCAATTTGTTTTCGATGTCAACGAAAGTGGCCTGCGGAAGCGACTTGGAGTACACCTTAAGTCCCTGTGCAACGTTAGTACTTGTGAACGAGCACACGGTCGAGGCTGAAGTAATTGCTCCCTACCTCACGGAAATCTTCGAGATCTCTTTCGTCACTAGCTTTCTTCAGAATGGCCCAAGCCTCCTCGGGGAGCTTGTCAGGAATATGGTTTAGATCAAAACGACGGTTTTCCTTGCAGTCCATAGTCTTATGACCTTCACACATCATTAGCGTATGCATCCTATTAGAACATGCGGCGTGTTATACCTTCCATCTTGCAATTCTTGCACACGTCGGGAGCCTTTTCAGGGCATTCAGCGGCTGGATGTCCTTCCTTGTTGCAGATACGGCAAGCACCCTTGAAAATACGAGGCTTAGTGCACTCAGACTTGTTATGTCTAACTTTTGTCAGAGAAAGAAATGTATTGGAAAGGCACATGGATGAATATACCCGTCCTCGCCGCAATTGAAGCATGCCATGTCCTTACGCGGTTCGGGACAGTTGCGAGCAAAGTGACCGTCGCTTCCACAGCTATCTTCTGTTAGCGACATTGAGGATCTGTAGGAAGCTACTTACTTCCGGCACCGATTATCATCGCCATGGCCTTCAGCCGCAGGAGCAAAGTCATCACCACCGTATCCGGGTTTAGTACCGAAGCCACCAGGCCTAGCGTTCTCATCATTACTGAAACCTGTCTTATCTCTTAATATTGTGAAGCTTCATAATTTGGTGGAACATGATCAACCGCATGCCATCCTTTTCCTTGGGAAAGGGAATGTTTCCAAGAGGATACGTACCACCGTCATTGCCACCACCCCAGGTGCCATTGTCATCTCCATCTCCTTCAAGCGTCCAACCAGCCATCTCGAGGGAAGAGTCTGTATTTGATGGAAGCTAGATGGGTATCGGTGCACTGGTGTTGTCAGTCAGCTTGCAGTTCAATCCACTCGATAACAACGCGTGGACGCGTTCAATATACGGAGTAGATGAGCCAGCAAGAAGGAACAGTTTTTGATAGACAAAGTTGATGAGAAGATCTATTGATATGAAAAGGATATGACACTTACCTATTGATGGCACGTTGCGTAGGATCCTTTAGCTTAGTTGTCTGCAAAGAATTACCACCAGAGCCGTGATACAAAGTAGGGAGCGTGGAGAAGGAAGAGACGGAAGAGTGGAACAGGAAATACTATAGAACAAGGGAGACCAGGGAGCGGGGCCTTTTTGAGAGCTTGCAAAAGAGAGGAGCAAACAGGGTAACAGGCCAGTCAATTCACGGGTTTCTCCAATTATGAGCAAACGAAGCGATCATGGCTTAGTCTTGTGGAACCCAAGGATAGCTATCGATTCCCTGCCATTGGATTGCATGGAGAATAAGCGAGTAACACCGATGATGGAAGGTAGTCCAGCTTATAGATCCCTACAACCATATATACCGATCAGTCAAGTAGTCATAATACTAGGGGTTCGAAGATGTTATGAGACAACAATAGCAACACAATAAAGCTTAGGAGTAACTAATATACTACTACTTTAAGATCAAGGTATCATTTAGTACAGACTTCGAATGTTAGTTGTGCAGGAGCATTTGTAGAGTTCAAGTGAAAAGTTGTGGCTTGTCAAAGTATTTTCGTGAATACTATGCTAGCGCCATTTGCTTCAATAAGAACGCCACCTGGGCCCACCTTCCAGGTCCAGAACACTATCAGGAAAATTTAAATTAACAGCCATTAACAGAGCCTACTAGCGGTTTGATTCGGGATGAACTCGCGTTAATGATTCTCCGATAACCGGTGCTGTTTTCATAAACGCCTAGGAAATCTGTTATAATTGGAAATACCGACACCAGGACTTAAGATATGCATAGCATGCAAGCTAGAGTTTCTCACGAGATTTGATTATTCTTGAAAAATATAGGCATGAGAGGAGATTTTCTAAATACTAGCTATAGGGGATCCAATATAGGTACTGATACCATAAGGGCGAACTGGCAATGTTTATACGGCTCGGATATCAAACGTTATTGAATGCTTGCAAGCTATAAGGCCATCACCTCTTCCCCCAGCCTTATAGTAGCATGTATCTCACAACGAATTAATTGACTAAATACGATATATATTCAGCCATTGCTCAGGTGATGCGTCAGGACGTTTGACAGTTGCCAATAAATAAACTGAGAGGAATATGAGGCTCAATGAGAAAGCAGCGGGATGTGCGATAAACTCATTTGCTATCACAATTTTCTACCTCCAAACCTTCCCCTTCCAGTGCAACAGAGCCATTGGAATGGCACTAACCGCTACGATCAAGGCGATCGCAATCCCCGTACTCCCTAGATACCCAATGTTTTCCAACATTTGCGGAAACCTGGACTACTGTCAGTATACCCACACCCCCAAAACACAGAAGACTTACCAGAATGGTCCTATGAATCCCCACGTCTGACGCACCAACGTGATGAATACACCAACGCTCGCTGCTTCTGATCGATAACAATCCACAGCATACGTGAAGCTGACGGTAGTGACGATTTGGTTTCCAATAGACGCAATGGTGACCCCAACCAGCGGAGTGATATTCCACCGCGATGAAGCATGATCTATCTGGACAAGGAAGATGACAATGCCAACTATTGTCAGAACAATTCCTGGATAGCTAATCCAGAGTCTGAATTCTGGTGCAACGGACCGCTCCGTTTTCTTTCGCCCGTATAGCATCCAACGGTCGGATAAGAATCCCCCAACCTGATCGCCAAGCAGAGAGCCGATAATCATCGCGATAAACTGCAGGCCTACCTGCTCCGAGTCAAGTCCGAACATCTCGGGGAAGAGTTGCGGCATCTCAATTGAAGGGAGGATACCACCGAGGAGGAATATCATCGCATACGCGGCGGCTGGTATCATAACACAGGGCCGTGCTGCCATGCCGAGAGGGCGTAGAAAGTCCCATATTTTCAATGGTGTTGGATCAATACGCTTCACATCAAGGAATCGTTGCCGACGGGTTGGGTTACTGAGGGGACTAGCAGCGCTACCACGGATGTAAAGAGTTTCTTGGCCGAAGATCAGGTATGTGATGAATTGAACGCCGTTGGTCTGGCATGGTTAGCATCCCTCTCCTGTTCTGATGACGCTCATACTCACGATAGCCAATATCCAGTAGATCCACCGGTATCCCACTCGACTCGCAACGAACCCAAAAAGCAGAGGTGCAAGCGGCACACCCAAGGTCACCATGACAGCCCACACGCCCATACATCTTGCGCGGTCTTTCTTGAAAAAAGTCTCGGCGACGACAGCGCTACCAATTGCAGCGGCAGGACTTATGAAAAAGGCAACAAGGGCCCGGCAAAATCCCATAGTCGCATATGACGGACTTTTAGCGCAGCCCACATTAGCAACTAGACTGCAGAGCAGCGAAAGCAGGAATATAGGACGTCGACCATAGCGGTTGGACAATGGCATCCAGAATAGAGGCGCACCCCCGAGAATGGCAATGACTAGGGAAGTTAAGTAGCTTGCTCTTTGTACGCTGACCCCAAGGTCCTCTGCTATCTCAACGAAGGCGGATTGGATTGAAGACGCTGAAAAAGTTGCCATCATAGCGTGGAACGCAACTAGAGCTAAGTTGATGACTTTCTACACCAATGGCCTGTCAATAACAATCCCTGAAAATCTGTCTTAATATAAGGTAGGACTTACCTTCCACGTCGGCCAATTATAGGGATCAGCGTCATTCATGTCCGGGATAGGATCCAGGTCTACCGTTCCATATCTCTGAATCAGATATTGACGATGAGCTTCCGTCAAGGCATCTGAGTCATTTTCTTCAATATCTTTACCCTGAGACCCATTGAACGCCTCTAGATCATTGTCATCACTTCTTTTAACGGCGAGATTCTCATCACCGTCGTCATTCTCCACATGCTGAACGCCGGGCTTTTCCATCATGCTATGCTGTGATCGGGGATCAGACGAGGAATGCACACGAGTCAAAAACACTATAACCCCCTGTCTAGACCCCAAATCACTCACTTATTATAGAAAAGGGCCTAAATATTTAGCCGACCTGTACCCCGGATCTTCACACCCGCCAAGCTAATTTCCCCGCAGCGAACTGCCGACCCCCCGGACCCTACGGCAAGCTCACGTCTGATTTGCCAGAATGCTGGGTAGCTATGCGTGGTACTAACTGTCTAAGCAGGTATCAGACCGCGGTTTTTATTGCGCCAATGCGCTAGTCCATCAACGCTCGTATTCTCGGGATTTCCGACGTGCGGTTGCCATCATCACCCGGTGAGGACTTAACACATGGTAGTCTTAGGAAATCTTTACGAAGGTTTTCAGATGGATTCTGACAGAATACCAAAAAGAAATTGCATTTGTGCTCGACGCGTGTCCCGGCAAGAAAGTCCATCTACAGCCTCCCACCATGTATGCGGGACATTGTTCATTGGTCGTAAGGAAATTCTGGACCCGGGGATTTCACTTTTTTTGCTCTCGCTAAACTTTCTCATGCACACGCACATGCGCTCTGACCATCAATGGCTCCTTTAAATCGCTGATTCCAACACTAATCAATTCCGGAATGTTCCCACTAGATTGGCGCTTCTCCTGAGCCTGCTTGTCAGCAAGTTCGAAAGTAAACTCCCTCAACAATGTGCTCATGAGCTTGTAAATATTCGTCATTGCAATGGTCTTCCCAATACATTGACGTCCACCCAAGCCAAAATGCATTAACAGCTGTGTCTTGGCGGCAATCTCGGGGTTCTCCCATCGGAAAGGATTAAAGTTGTTGTGCTCATCACCCCAGACGTCACGGTTATGATGGAATGCATGGTTGCAGACAGCGATTGACGTCTGCAAAGATTGCGAACTCATTAGCGTTATAGTCTGCATCGTAGTCATAGTCTTATAAAGTAACTTACTCCTTGTGGTATATGCTGTCCGTCTATTATAACACCCGTTGAATTCATCACCCTCCGAGCTAGAGGCATCGTGAAGACCGGCGTAATTCGGAAATTCTCCCTTATGCAGTTGCGCAAGAACGGTAGAGCGGCCTCCGCAGCGGATACAGAATAGGCTGTCTCTCCGTGTGTAAGGGGAGGCAGATTGGCCTCGATCTCCTTTACGCACTCTTCCATATACTGGGGGTTATGAAGTAGGTGGTAGAACAACAGAGTTGTCGTGGCACTCGTAGTGTGTGTTCCTGCAATACTGTAGGTTCATTCAGCAACTGGTGATCGACACATCATAAGAACTAGGAAGAGGAACGAAATAGAGACGTACATAAACCCAAAAGCCTCAGTCTCAAGATCCGTCTGTGTAAGATGCTCACCAGTATCGGGATGCTTAGCCAAGATCAGATTTGTTAGGAGGTCCTTCCTATCGTCACTTTTGGACATTCTGTCTGCACCAAAATTTCCCAACCTACGTCGAACACACTCCGACGCGAGATCCGCACAAGCTTTGCGGCCAGCAAAGAGCTGCTGAAGGGGCTTGTATGGAACAAGTGGAAGATACTTCTTCAGCGTTGCTGTCATAGCAGGCCAGGCACCAGTAACGGCCGCAAGCAGACTATGTTCGATGACTGGCGGGACTCGTATCTCATCGTCCGTCCTCTGCACCCCAAATGATTGACTGAAGGCCAGCTCACCGAGGACGTCGATCACGTAATAATGCAGGGCCTTTTTCAGGTCGAATGTCCGATTCTGAGCACAATGCTCTCTGATCTTATCTCTTAGAATTTGAATATTCATGTCCAAGTATTGCTCCATCTCTTTCACATAGCTCATCGAGAAGCCGTGAGACATGTGGCGCCTGCGGATGGAGTGTTGCTAATCACATTTTAAAAAGGTATTCTGACATTTATTATAGTAGGACATGATATGGACTCACTTCTTCATCCCGCATACCGAATACATTCGGATGAGCTGCGCCGTATGCGTCATAGAACTCCGTCTTTGGCATTCCTCTTCCGCCCTTCTGGTATATTGTTTGAATGGCGCCTTCGTGAGTAATGCTGAGTTTGTCTGGTCCGTACCGGACAATTGGTCCATACTTGGCATGGAGCTCTGTTAGGTTGTATGGTTGCTTGAGGGTCAGAAATTGGTAGACCTGCCAGACATCGGTAAGGCATGCTAGAAATGGACCGGGGTATTTGGCAAGGGGGTGAAAGTATCGTTGATATATAGAGTAAATAGTGAGAGTGAGCGCTAGGAGGATACCAGCGCTTGTCATGGGAGTAGATATAAGGGTGTGTATGAGGATGGTCATTTTCAATATGTGTGGTTTGCTTGGACGGTGTTCTATTATTTCAGATTAAGTGTAGAGAAGTAGTCGCAATGGTCTGATTCACCACGTTTTATTTCTGCTGGCTTTATATATTATTTGTCCACCCGACATCTAAGCAGTGTCATTCAACATTAATATCTGTAAGTAACCGAGATCACCTATCCGAATTGCTTTTTCTATTGGCAGAAATGGATCATTGTGATACATTTCCATGTCTTCCAGCCCGATGGGGATACCTTCGGCTACGCTCGGGAAGCGCGAATCCGATTGGTCCAGAGAAGGTGAACGAGACTGGGTGGAGAGGTTCCCCGCATTATACAGGACACTAAACTACCGTTGAGATGAGAATGCTTGCTTCGATCCCTCACTCATTTGAATGCCATCGCCCGAGAACACTGCTACCATGTCAGGCCGGCCACATCGCAGACGACGAACTGAGGTTGCCTGTTCGGAATGCCGATACAGGAAGCTAAAGGTATTTAGTAGTGCTTCCACACTGAGACAGCCAACTTCAATTTAACAGCACTGACATCAATAGTGTGAGGGAACAAGGCCGGTGTGTGCGCGATGTCAGCATAGGAGAAGAGAATGCAGGTATCAGCAGCCTATAGAGTCTGGTATTCGACGTCCAAAGGCTAAGAGGTCAAGCTACGTGAGATCCTGGAGATAGAAGGAATGCTGATTTGCGTTATATAGAGACCAGCAGGACTTGGCTCGCAGGGTTGAACTCCTGGAGGATAAAGTTGGTCATGGAACTGGATCGCAAACACATTCACCGAGTTTATTACTTGGGAAAACAGTGAGCGAAGATACGAGTGTCGATGAGCTTGCCACACATGCATTCTCTGAGACATCCCTTGGTCATGTCTACTTTGGTAGGTGGCCTTCTAGCTTGACAACAAGCCAATCTAATTGTCTGAGGCAGGGTCTAGTTCAAACTACGCCATATTTAGACACATTTCAAACGCATTCGCAGAAAGCGCTCTCCTACACCTCACGCTAAGCAGCCATGGATCTCCCGCTATTCAAAGCTGTAGCATAACAGAAGGAAAACAGAAGTCAACTAGAAAGGAACCGTCATTAGTAAAGCAGTTTTCAATACCTCTGGAAGATATACACGCCCTTCCGTCTAGGGATGAGGCACTGCATCTTATTAGTCGCTTTTCCACAACAATCGGTGCCATTCTTCAATATGTCAACTATGAGACTTTGTTAGACACCTATGAGAAAGCCCTCCTTGAAAGGCCCCCAAAGTTCCAAAGGGGCTTTTTAGCTCTTCTGAATATGGTTTGGGCACATGCATCTGCGTCCTTACAGCTGCCGGAAGCAGAGGTATTCTACAGCCATTGCGCAGGTCTTCTCGACCAGCGAACACTGGAGAGACCAACATTCGAACTAGGTGAGCCACCTATGCTTTTCCAATGCTTTCTCTTAGTTGACAGTAATGCAGTACAGACATTACTTCTGAAGTCCCTCTACGAGCAGAACCATCAGAGATCTACATTGAGTTATACAACCCATGCAAACTGTGTTAGAGCGTCATTGCAGATGGGCTTTCATTGTGCCTCTGTTCGGGATGCTCAAGGACATACATCTGACAGCCTGTATCGAAAGTTGTGGTTGGGGGTTTTGAACAATGATAGGTAGGTTGATTCCACCCTTGTTCTTTCAGGACATAACAAGATTTGTTCTTCTTCACACTTACGACTACCATATCCAGTCAAATGGCAGATCTGACCTTAGTAGAGTTATGGGCTTGACCCAAGGGAGGCCACTCCTTATACCTTACGCTATTGGAAAGACCTGCAAAATAAAACAGCCCGCAATACCAGGGGATATAGGTTCCCTTTATCTGTTCCAGATGACGTCTGTTAACCCCAAAAGGATTTAAAAATACACATGCTTACTTGATAAAGATCCTCTAACTCAATCCTGCACGACATAATCGCAACACTGTACGATCAAAATTTGGACTCGGGCCAATCTCTCAATATGCAGACAGCCATCAACAAGCGTGATAATCTACACTTCCAGCTCGAACAATGGGCCGACAGCCTTCCTAAGAGCATTTCCCTGCTCCCGAGTGGAAGGCTAATAGACCAATCAGCGGTTCCAGATTCTCGCTGGGCCGTACGATTACTCCTATGCATACAATACCATAGGCTGGAATTGACCACGAACTTCCCTCTAATGATGAGAATCTTAGAGCCCGACTCAATGAACTCACTTGGAAAGCGTACCCGGGAAAATATTCAGCGCAGTTTCTCCCAAATCCTCAAGGATGACTGGTTCGCAGTACGAGAAGTGCAGCGTTTAATATCCCACATTTCCACACTCCAGGGATGTATTGACATGTACGCATCATGGTACACATGCAACTACACAAGTTTGTCTCCCCAAAGGATTCCCACCTGTGAACCAAAATGCTAATATAAGTCCAGTATTCACAGCCCTCCTCCACTGCCTAGCACTATTCCTCCTCCGCCAGCAATACCCATTAGATTCGGAGCCGACGCCACCCCAAATACGCCAGGAAATAGAAGCCTGCCTCCACACAATGAGAATTATCAGTAGAGGAAGCATCGTGAACCAGAAGGCGGACTACTGTATCCAAAGTTTACTTGTGGTGTTTGACGCCCTTGGTATGCTAACTCCCCCTTTAAACACTTTATACAGACTATATTACCTACTAACATACCTGTAGTCAACAATCCTCATGAGAATACAAGTAATCCATTAGACACATTGACCACCGAATTTATTTTCCAACATATCAAGCTCCCAACAGAGGAATTTCTCAACCAATGTAGTCGGCACGAAGAGTCAGAGCAGGCGCAATTGTTTTTGGATATCTTTTCGAGCATTCCGCTTTGTGAATGAGTTAGACATAGTTCTAGTTCGTTATGGGACTCCTTCGATCACGTACCAAAAAGGTTATAAGCATTGGAACCTGAGGTAAAATGGTTGTAGGAAATGGGAGGATGCCAGGGAATCACTGGGGATGTGGTTAGTGTTTAGGCGACTGGCAGTGGCTGTGCTAATGTGAGAATACTATCACTGGGCGCGGCGTGCTGCGCCCCTCTAGGCATGGCGGAATGGATCGGATCTTGACGCAAAGTTTTTTCGGGTATAGGGGGAAAATGTCGTGGGAATTTGGATTACAGGGCTATCAATAGCTAGGAGCCTCCTAATATCGTAGAGAGAAAAGGGGACGTAGTAATATTCTTTAATTAGACCTAGTTATATATCAAATGCTAAAAATTCGTGTGAATGCTAAAATAAAAGGTGAGCCCATGCATGGATACAGACTCATAACGATGTGAGAAAATGAAGAAAAAAATAAAAGACCCGAATATATATCGAAACATGCAAACTGGATGCGTTCACGATAGTGGCCCACTAGAAGACTCATCGGCGTCCGCGTTCACGATCTTGGCGACCCTCAAACACGTTTCACATTTGTTCATGCTGCGAGCCACAGCTACCTTGCGCTCGAAGATTGTAGCTCGCTGGTCAGAAAGTACGAGCTTGTTTTTCAAGTCATAAATCTCCTTTTTATACTTCTGCTCACGTTGTTCAAGGGATTTGATAGTCTGGGTATGTCTCCTACTCTCCTCTTGTGCGGACTCCAGCTTGGCGGTCTTTTCTGAATTGATCTTTTTCAGATCCTCAACCTGGCCTTGCAGCGAGGCGATAACTTTCTCCTGATCATAGTTTTTGAAAAATGTAGTTTCGAACCTCCATATGAGGTTTTTGAGATATTGTACGTCCGATGGAAGGGAAGGCCTAGTAGGCTCAGTCGCCTCTTTTGTAATTCTCTGGTGGCCTTGTTGATTCTCCCCACTTCTTGAACTCGGTGTCATGCTTGTTCGCCCGGGCATGGGTCCTGCAGGAGGGGTTTTATTGCTGGAAACGCCCGTCTGGAATGTGTCAGTAAGTTCAAACGCAAGGCTAGTGAGCATGTGTAGCTTACACTTCCGTTAGGCCGAGAGTCAATCATATCAGTATCTCCCTGGGCATCAGGTCTGCCTACCCCTGCTTCTTCTTCGCCGCTTTGGCGGCTTTCAGGAGCATTGTTTGTATCATCGATGACGATTGTCTCGATTCCATCTAGACCTTCTCTTTCACACGGTAGACTGGGCCCCTGAAGTGTCTCTTCGTCGGAGTCCTGTTCATAGTCCGAAGAGCTATCCTCGTCTGTCATATTATTTTGATCCGTTTCTTCCACTTGATCCCTTCCCGACGAAAGGACCGCAGCTGTTCTGGTCTGCTTCTCTGGACGGTTCCCAGGCGCCATTTCGTCGGGCAGTGAACGCTTATTGGTTCTAGTTCGTAGCGTTACAATGCGGGCTGGAGGAGGGTCCCGAGGGGTATCGGGGTTTGACTTTGAAATCAGTACGACAGCTATCAATATAGAGATGAAATGAGCTAAACATACAATGTTGGCTTCTCGTCTTCTTCGTATACTCATAATCTATCATGAAGTCAGATAAGTCCTGGCAGTGAAAGTAAATAAGACATACGGAATAGGCCTTCTCCAAGGCGTTCTGGCTCCTATGGGGGAAGAACTGCTGGGTAGAGTGTAAGTATGCTACTGTGGGCAGAGGGAGTCAATGATAAATAAAAGGGAAGGAACTATCTATGCACACCTTGCGAAATTCCTTCCAGGGCATGTGACTGTACATTCTTCGCTGATCCCAGAAGCGCTGTCTCTCTTCATCAGTCCAGGTGCCGCCAGTCTTGATGCGAGCTCTGGGCTTTCTAGTAGGTTTGCGCGAGAAGGTCGGCATGAGGGTGATGGTAACAGAAGATGAAGAGACCCGCTTGAAGATATTTAAAAAAGGCAAGATATTATTGTAAAGCTGATTTGGAGGCAAGAACGCAAGGTATTACAATGAGGATGCCTCAGAACTTCCAAGGCAGTGGGGGTGAAATAAGGCTTTCGGCGAGGCTGAATCAAGCGCTCCGACAGGCAGAACTGAAGTTGAGCTCAGTCGAAAAAGCAGGAACAAGAATCCCTGTTGTGTTGAGGTGTAAATTCGCAATTAGAGATACCTTTCGATAGATAGAATACGCGGTAGCAAGCTTCCTCACTGCGCGGTTCACTCTCCGCAGGTGAATACCCCTAGTAATTTTCACTCCCACCTCTAGTTAGAAATACAGCAAGTTGGATATTATAACCCTACCATGTGATTATTCCAGATAGAGGCATAGTATCTGCCTCTCACCGACTCTTTCCAACAGACATTTTCTCTGAGATAACGCAATGGAAAAGGACGCTAAGGAAGCAATGCGGCGTAGCGAAGGTGCATTAGCAGCGTCGTTAGCCTCGTGCCGTTGGCTTTCCACCCCTGCGCAAGCCAAATGACAGTTCTGGCGACTTGCATAAGCGCTGCGATTAGACCTCATTCGTGCATTAGACGGTTTCAGAGGATGAGATAACACCTCCCGGAGCACTCAGCCTTGCAGGCACAGGATTGTTGTTGCAGCCTTGTAAATGAAGCTGAAAACTCCTGAAGCTTGAACTGGTCCTCGGGTGGAAATTCCCACGTGCACGCTCGCAGATAACAAGTTTCTGGTTTTTGACATGTTATGTATTGGATAGCATTGAAAGACTATTAAAGGAATTTGAATTGGGGTTTTTCATGTTTTCTTTGAGATATTACAATCCCCAAGTCTGTTCACCGCCGGCTGAATTCAAGTAGCACTCGAAGGCTTATCTGGGTTCCGTTCCTTGAATTTCCTACTTAACGGTAACATTCGATCTTTCAAGCCCAGTTTCAACCCAAAAAGTCAGGCCTCTCTATATCAGTTCTAGCAGACCCATTTGCTCAGCAATATGCTATACCATGGAACTAATGATATACAAAATCGATAACTCACTCCAGGCACTGTTTATCTCGAAGCAGGAAATGTTGTAGTATAATGTTGTAGTATATCTCAGAATAGCCTCACGGAACATAATGTAACAGCAGAGCGCCCCATAGAGCAAACAACTCAAATGACACGGCTAGGTCTACTGATAACCATTCTGAAATTGCTATTGACTTCTTCAACAAGCAGAGCTGGTACGTAGAAGTCGTGAAATTGTTGAATAACCATGCCGGACGGCCAAGGCAACATCATTTGCACCATCAGTCTCGCATGCGTTTCGATCGGCTTCATAGCCCCAGAAGACTTTGAGAAGACGCCGCGGGACTAATCGCGGCTTTTGGTTATTACTTATCTCTACGGCCCTTCTCAAATGTGCGCGACTTTCAGAGCCTCGAATATCCATTGGAGAACCCATTCCTGGGCTCAGCTGCTTCAACAAATAATCCCCTAGACGATATCCGGTCTTAAGCGAATCGGGTGCCAGGATTGGATATGTGACACTCGCTCCATGCTGAATGAGAATTCTGACTGTGCTCTTCCTCCCACTGGCTGCAGCAAGTTAAAAGGGGCGTAAACTGTTCGTAAGGGAGATTCACATCTGCGCCATGCTGAATGAGACTTTCCACCATGCTATCTTTCCCGTTGACTGCAGCAACTTGAAGGGGCGTAAAGTAGTCGTTAGGAAAATCAATGTAGGAATCATGCCCGATTAGTAGTCTGACGACGGCGTCATGACCATATTTTGCAGCCTGAGCAAGTGCAGTCCAGCGTTCATTATCCTGCAAATTGACGTCCACACCATAGTGAATAAGCTATTGCACCAAATCTTTGTATCCCTTCTTGGCGGCCCAAGTGAGAATTGTACAATCATCTCGACCGATGCCCGTCTTGGAACTTCAGTTCGGGTTGAGCCCCTTATTAACTAGAAGAGTGACCAATTTAGGATCGTCATCCTCAACTGCTGAAAGTAGCACGGATTCCATCTTGCATCGATCGCTTGCCAGGTCAATGTGAAGAGAGAAATTGACAACTTCCATGTGACGGTTCTGAAAAATCATAGAGGCGGGCAGGATCCCCTTCATGATCGATGGCTCCCATATCAGCTCCTTCCTCAACAAGAAGCTTTACCGTGAGTATATGACCAGATGCGGCAGCCACGCTGGTCTATAACTTCTCCATATTCACGAGTGGGCTTGCTCACGACAACATCCCCGAGCTGAACTCCAGCGTCACGCACCCCTCCGCCCACTCCGACTATTAGTCCAAATCGAAGAGATGGGAAACTTATGCGGACTCCAGTGGCTACGACCGCTGCAGAATTAGTCCCGTAAACCCCAGACGATAGACTAGTAATAACACCGCGATGGCCGTGGAAGACGCCGAAACTATACGTGTTGTTGTCGTGAGGTCGGGCGGGCAGGTCGGGTAGACGCTCGTCCAGCAGCGCCTCGGCGGCTGCCATCTCCACGGGTAAGGCGCAGATCCAAGCTACGGTGAAGTCTTCATGGCGTAGGGAGGAAGTTGGCGAGCTCATTTGCTGCATCTCAGGCAGAGAATATTCTGTTCAGCGATGACTGGTGACTGGTGGTCTTGGTATTGTGTTGGAATGTGTAGAAGGATTGATGGAAGTTGGCAATCGGCGAAATCGAGACGCGCAAGGCAGTATTTCCAGCTGAGTGGCTAATGACAGGGATTGACGTGGCAGCGAAGAGCATCGCGCTTTCTTTTTTTTTAATGGGCTAACATGGCCAGGGAAAGATGCCTAAAACTGCGGAAAATAGCGAAAAGATGTTGTTTTACGAGATGAATGCGCTGGAAACTACATAAATACGGGATAGTACCAAGAGTAGGAGTAGTTACCAGAGTCTCTCCTGCAATGCATCATCAGTCTACCGGCTTATGGGCAATATTGGCACTAACTCAATCATTTAGTCAACCCGTTGAGACCTGTAGAACTTTATTTAATTCAAGCGACGTTGCAATACTGCCACAGTCCTTAATTCTCCATAATATCCAGCCAAATCAACATTCGGGATGAACATGAGGCCGCTCATAGTCAGGGTTAAACGAATCCCGCTCAATTCCCACGCCCGGCCTGACAATACCATGTTCGTCAAATGGATTTAGCCCATTTCCATACAAAAACTCGTATACTTCCTTTTCAATCCAGGTCCCTAAGCCAGGCCGTCTATTCCACACTACATCCACACCCACAACAAGCTTAGGCCTTTTACTAGTACTTCGATATCTCCACCGTGTACGGTTCCGGATTCCTTCGATCAGAATTGACCAATTGTCAACATCAGGCTCCGAAAAACTCAGAAAGCTCAGTTCTACTGAGCTAGTGATGAGTGGCAGTCGATCCAGAAGCCTGACCATGCCAGTAGTATGGACTGACAAGCCTGAGAGTCCAAAGTGGCGGAGTTTCTGCCAGTTGGCGACAGGAAAAACGGTATCAAGTCGAATATTCGAAAAGTGAATATCGCTAGACGAATTTCGCTGCAGCGCAGACACATTGGCTTTGAAGCTGAAGTGTTCTAAATCTACCGCAACTCTCAACACGTCTCGCAAATTCCCATTGGAGAAAATAGGCCATCCACGTTCACATTGATTGGAGCATATAATAGCAAGATCAAGTCGCTTGAAGCCTGGCTGCTTAAGGATAAATAAGAAGTTAAAAAGCTCCTCACAGGGTTGTTCAAAGATCGTGCAATTGATCCCTGTGTTCAGCTGGTTCACATCAAAAACGAGCTCAGAGATGTTGTGATGCTCTCTATCTCTTGCCAGCACATGCAGTGCACCCTGAACTCCACGCCATCTATCCTTCCAGTGCTCGTGCAAATCGGTCCACAGAGAAATGGCTGGCTGATTCTCCTTGTGTGTCGGCCATCCGCACGGGACAGGATAATTAAACCCGGTTGGGAACGTGCGAATCATGGGTGTCTGATAAAGAGGGTGGAAGATCCGTGCATGGATAACAGGTGTAACTGTGACTCTTTTCAGGGCTGGAAATTGCTTCAGCCCATACTCAAAGGCTTCCACGTCGGCGTTAGTGCGAATGTTCTCTTCCTGTTTCCTACTCAATCTATCATAGAGAGCAAAGGATTCTTTCAGCCATACCGTGGAAGCAACATCTTGCTCGGCCCGCTCTATGCAATCCGCTAACCCCGTATAGTCGGTCTGGTACCTCCGCAAATCTGCAATATTTTCTCGGCAAGCATTGATGTACCAGAGTTCAGCTCCTGCGCAAGGGCCTTGCTCTCGTAGATTTCGCCCGCAGTCTAGCACCGAGAACTGGGGTGGGAGTAACAGCCGCGTGTCATCCCAGATGATCTTTTTGATGTGCCGGCGATAGACTTCGTGGTCGGCAACCGCACGGAAGACATCAAGGTTACGTTGGTCAGCGGATAAGAAGACACGTTCAATACGTAAGTGTGCGAATTCGTGCAGAAGCTGGGATGTCAGGCGTAAAGACTTTATATCACGGTTGGGTAGATAAGATACAATCCTCGCAAGTAACTTGGTTGGAAGGCTCGTAAGAGCTTCTGCTGTGTTCCCTCTGAGTTCGGGTACCATCGTGTCCTGAGGCAAAAGTGAGAGTTAGAGCGAGGAGACTCTGAAAGCGCTAGAGATAATGATGGTAGGTAGAATCTTGTAGTGTGAATATTCTTACCTCGCTGTATATGTTAGATGTCTAGGTGATGCGATTGTGAAGATAGGAGGCCACTAGAGTGACCTCAGAGTGACCCCAGAGAAATCGACGGTGATGAAACTCAAGTAAGAAAGCGAGGAGAGTCCCGCATGATAGCATTTTCTACTTCCCTCATCATAATTTGAGCTTGTTGAGGTGTTATATTGCGATAGTTGATGGAAAGGAGTCATAGAATTGTCAGGAACTAAGCAAAATACCCTATGCTGAGTGTTCAAGGTTGTCGGAACATACATCCACTGGTGTGCCTTACTTCCGGTACTTATCGACCATGTATTTGAGTTTTATCGCGACGTGCCTAAGAGCTCTTTGATGGCTCATGAGGGCAAGACGATGCCCAATAGTCTCATATTGGTGCTCTTGAGCCTCCAAGGGTACTATTGCGATAGGTAAAACCAACTTACTGACAGCTAGAGCCTGGCTAATAGATAGCGTGAAACTTAGCAGCCGTAGCAACATATAAGGAGGGGGGATTTATTCTATTAGTTAGTGGTACATAATCAGGTCCTCCACTATTTTGCGTCAATCTTTATTGTCTCTTGTAGCAATCGAATTTCTTCCAACAAAGCTTGCCCGCCATTTGCTAACAAACACTGAGCCACTGTAGCACCCAGCGCCTCAGCATCCTCGTCCGTTCCCACTTCCGCTGTCGTCCGTTCGGATAGCAATGTTGTCCCATGGGGGTGAATAATAGTGCCATCTAGTCGCAATTGAGCTGCCGAGGAAGCTGTCGGTGCCTGTTCAACAGTGCATTGTACTGCAACCGGAGACGAGCAGCCACCCTGAAGAGTGCGCAGCAGTGAGCGCTCTGCCAGACAGATCCGTCGGGTAAGTAGATCTTCAATTTTGCGAACCATGGTCTCTGTATGGGTATCCTGCTTGCGGATTTCAATGCCCAAGGCGCCCTGTCCGACAGCATACGGGAATTCCGAGGGAGGTAAGCGCTTAGTGATGCGGTCTTCTAGATTAATGCGGACCATACCGGCCGTGGCCAGGATGATTGCCGAAAATGGCCCTTCTGGGTCATCTAGCTTTCTCAGTCGCGTTCCGCTACCATGCCAAGTTAGAAGAAAGTCAAGTATTAGGGACAGTAAGGGGCTAATTTCTTACAGATTGCCACGGCATTCCTCCACTTTCAGGTGTGGGTATCTGTATCGAAGTAGGGCTTTCCGTCTAGTGGAACTAGTGCCCACCACGGAGCCGGGGGGCAATTGACTCAGATCCGTATACTGCGACCGCAGCCCCTCCTTCATCACCAATGCATCGGTGGGATCTTCCCGATAAACAATTGCCCCCAGTGTGCAGTTCTCTGGTAGGCGCGTCGGCATATCTTTGAGGCAATGCACGAGGAGGTCCAACTCTCCTGCGCACAGCTTGGTTTCCATCTCTTCGGTCCAAATGTTCTTTGCTGCATCAGATGGGCCTGCAAACTTCAAAAAAGGACTGCTCTTGTCAACATCACCGCGCACCACCACGGTTTGCCAGGGAAACTGGACACCGGGGTGAGCACGGGTCAATTCCTTGGAGACATGTTCTGCTTGTACTAATGCCAGTTTGGAATTGCGGGTACCCAGGCGCAGCTCCTGTACTGTGGCTGGCGTATTCTGTGACATCTCAAAGTACGCGATAGTGACTGAGAAATATGACTTGTGCTTAGTTTGTAGATGACAATTGGACTTCGTGAAGTTGAGGATTTCAGGTTTCAGTTCGCCTGTAGTCAAATCGATAAACTAGCCAAGTTTAGGTGACTAAGAGATAAGCGCTTGTATGTTTTGAGACTAGTGATCCAGAGTGGAGGCCTGAGAAGAACCGTCCTGTTATCGATCATTATAACTTAAACTCAGCGAATGTAGAAATTTGCCAGTGGAGATTATGAGATCCAGGTAGCATATCTGGTTTGGAAACCATGCGATGTTTAGATACCAGGGTTTTTGTGCATCATCCGGCAATGAATCTTTAACGAGACGCCGAACCTCTCTTCTCGAGAAATCATCCACAATGATAGAGCTGAATATATCAAGGATGTCGAATAGCTAAGAGATGAGCTTTCCAAGAAAAAGTCTTAGTTTCCATGTCAATGTTAATCAGAAGATTCGTCATTCGGGGATAGTTCCCTGTACCAGATCTGGTCGAGCGTGTGCTGAGAAATAATACTATCGCGGACATAAGATAGACATCTGTCGGGACTTGGACGAAGACAAGGAAGATAATATTTCCTTGGGAACTTTCAGGCCGATTGATAAAGGAGGAATTACAATTGTGGGAGCCGATCACCACAATTATGATTGACTTTGTCCCCGCCCCCAACACTGGCAACACAATTGATTCGTGGTCTCGCGCACATCAAACCCTGAACTAGTTGAAGTAACTGTCATCGCTGGTAATCAAGATCAGGATGTCTGACTCTTAAATTCTGACTATGTCATTTTGAGCAAGCAGAAAAGGGTATAGACGTTAAGGCTTCTTGTCTAACCCAGATACGATCTACCTGTTCTCCACTTAATATGAGTACTCTTATGCTGACTGGACCCTCAGCAATGTACCCGTCGACCTTTCTTACTATTTGCTTTGGCTTTCACGCCGTAGTAGAAATGGCTCCCAGCGTTCGAGGTCACCATCGGCGGCGTTACAATCTTAAGTCTGATGCGCGGAACCCAGAAGAATGCGAGTTAGCGACCCAGCTTTAAGAAAGGATGATGACGCTACGGTCGGGAGTCCTCACACCAGACTACCATGAAAGGTCCAGGCTCAGCGAGCGCCCAACTTGATACCGACCTCATTACCATCATTTACTCTTCTGACCCATCTGCTGATATAAAAGGGACCTGGCTGATCCATGATATCTATTAGCGAACAGCTGATGGGTAGAGCACCCGCCCTACCACGGAGACTTCGATAAATTCATACATCAGGACGGTTTTCGGATCTTGAGCGTGGATTATGACGCCCTGCCAATGGGCGTGGGAAAATAGAGAGAGGAGGAGTAGGAGACAGTTCCGGAGATAGAGCGCAAGTCAAATGCGGTCTTGGATGGCGTGGCTTTCTTTGCAGCGGGAGTCGCCATCTTTCTGATGCCACAAATCACGGCAGATGTAGTTAGGGGTAATAGTACTTGTGAAGTAGGTTGCGGTAAAGACCACGGTTTCAAGCGTATAATAATCTTATGCGCAGACGAGGTGTCGAATACGAGCTTCCATGATTCTGAGAAGCAGCGAACGGACTCGGTCCATTATGGCTTTCTGTTCGGAGTAAAACACGTGTGGGCCATTCAATCAGCGCCACGACTAATGCCGGGAATTTTGTCACGAGAAAACAAGCTGAAGTTGAAAGAAACAAGTTGTTGTGTCGTTAGTTCTACTGCAGCACTGTGGATGCATCAAACCCTACATATTCCCGAGCCGTGCCCCGGGGCTTCAATTTTTGAGCGGGACACTCCTTGCATCCAGCATTTGACATAGAATATTACACCTCTTCTTCATTCATCGTGGCGGAAATATATGTAAGTTTTGACACTCTGCTCAGTCACATATCATGGGACCCTTTGGGTTGGCTATGACACGAGATATTTGTCTCAGTGCTATGCAGGGTTAAGCATCGAAAAAGAAAACCACCCAATGCAAGCCGAGCTATGAGAAATTTTCAGATGTTCAATAACCTGTCAAGAAGGATATGATATCCTCGGTCCAATAAATCAGTGCTAATCTGACGTATTCTCGGCGGGAGAGACAAATTCCAGCTGACAACGTGGAAAATAGCGTAAGCCACGATATGTTCTATACTTGCTCTCGATTCACCCCTTAACAGACTTCTCAAACCTCCTCAAACTACCCAAGAGAAGGTACTCCGTACTGAATCATTCGAAATACGGTGCAGCGGGGAAGACACGTGCATCCTCGGTCACTCTCAAAGTTGGGACTTCGCTTCGAGGTTTTGTGCAGATCCCCCTCCGTTCTGATGAGTTGACAGTCCCTGGAGAGTATCCTCCGTCCGACGGATCATCAAACAGTCTATTTTAGCCCCAACGTTCGTGCCGATCTAGAATCAAATACGCAAATACGCAAATACGACACGAAATATTGCCCTTTTTTGAGGATTCATTGCAACAGGTGATATACAGTCCGTTCAGCATGGACCCCCTGAGCATCGCATTTAAGGTGGCCAAAAGACCTCGTTGTACCAGACATGGCCCAAGCAAAGCTATTCGAGTCCAAGATGATAGCAGCTGCTCTTCTTCTGGCCGCAGTGGCCCCTGTTCTGGCAGCACCTAACACCGATGCTGTGTCGGTTTGCCAGCACCTACACACGGTTTACCCCCAATACACCGTCTGGGACCCCACAGGCACCTACGCAACTGAGACATTCTGGAACCAGTCCTACTACAGCAATGCAGTCAAGGAGTACTGGAACGGTGTGAACGCCGATAACCGTCCAGCCTGCGCCTTCTTCCCTGCAACGGCGCAACAGGTCTCCGTTGCAGTTCAGCAGCTGAACAAATATCCCACAGCACCCTTTGCACTTAAAGCAGGTGGACACAACTTCAACGTGGGGTTCTCCAGTACTAATGGAGGCGTTCTTATCACGTTCAACGAGAACATGTCCTCAACCACCCGCAACTCGGACGGCCAGAGCTTCGACATCGGTCCGGGAGCACGATGGGGCGATGTCTACGACGTCACGCAGAAGACAAACCAAGTTGTCGTAGGTGGCCGATTGTCCAATATTGGCGTGGCAGGGCTCACAACTGGAGGAGGATTGTCATACTACTCAGCTCAATATGTACTTACCTTACCCCACCCCCCCTCTGCCCCCTCATACCAACATCCCAGCACTAACCCAACTCAGGGTCTAGCATGCGACAACGTCATCAACTTCGAAGTAGTCCTAGGCAATGGCACCATAACCAACGCAAACAGCACCTCCAACCCAGATCTCTGGTGGGCCTTGCGCGGTGGAGGCAACCGCTTTGGCATTGTCACCAAGTTCACCCTCAAGGCCCATCCACTCGGCGACAACGGACAAGTCTGGGGTGGCATTCGCTCCTATACTGCCGACAAGCGCGAGCAAATATTCGCAGCGCTCTCCAACTTCACCAGCGAATACCCAGACGCCAAAGCCGCCATCATCCCGACCTTCGACTTTGGCCTGCCCGGAGCCCTGGTCTCCAACCCCGGTATTTTCTTCTTCTACGACGGGGCCAAGCCCAGCGCCAACGCCTTTGCCGGACTCGAGGATATTGAACCTTTCATTGACTCCACTAAAACCGGAACCTACACCGATCTAACGAACGCGATAGGCGGAGCCAAGATCTACGGCATCAACGCCGCCATCCACGTTAATACTTTCCCCAACATGCCGTCCCAGCAGATGACCCAGCTGTTTGAGACCCATTGGACTACGTACCAATCTATGATCAAGAATGATTCCTCCCGGAACTTGGACTTTCAACTCGGTACCTTTACCCCGCAGCCGCTGTCGGTGCGTATTGCTCGTGCTTCTCAGAACGCTGGTGGTAATGCTCTCGGTTTGGACCCTGCCAACGGTGATCGTGTCTGGGTCGAAAATGACTTGATCTGGGTGAACCCGGTCTGCAATGATGCTTGTCCTGAGTACTTGCGCGAGGTTGCGGATACTGTGAAGGAGGCGTTTAATAACACGCTGCTGGGAACAAAGCCGACGCACTATCAGTCGGGTGATGTTGATTGGATCTCGTAAGTCTCATTTCTCGGGTTTATTCATACAGTATACTGACAAGTGTAGGTCCAATCCCCTATTCATGAATGATGCTGCCGACTACCAGGATGTGTATGGCAGTTATGGACCCACGAACAGGGCGAGATTGGCGAGCATCGCTGAGGCGTATGATCCAACTGGATTCATGTTCCGTCAGGGCGGATGGTCATTTTGAACTTGACCGTTCATGGAACGGAGGAGTGCAAGAATGGTACAGTTTGTTGGATGATAATCTATCGTGCGTAGTTGACTGTTGAGGACGCACGTACCCTATAGTATACCGTCAGCAGGATAATGGAATATCATAATGCTTTCTTTAAGTCTTACAGTGGAATTCGGCAGACAAACCTTAACTTATTGTTCAGCGACTATAGTTCTATTGAAGTTTGGACTATACACCCCCAGTGTACGGCGATAAGTAGACTCTACATCTGATCAGATATCTTTTTAAGAGACTATCTTGAACATACCAGCAGTAACAAATGATACAATTCAATAAAATCTAACCCATAACGCTAGTAGAGTATAACTGACGAAACAAAAGCTCCCGCCCCCTAGGCCAACCTACTCCTTCCCCGGACAAACCCACTACACTCACCAATCCCACTCAAAAGAACAAATCAAAGACAAACAGACCGCCCGAGGTCCACATCCCGTATGAACCCCGGCATAATCCTATTTAATGGCATACACCCTACTTGAAAAGCCTGCCCAGCAGACCTCCCGCAAGGTTACTCATAACCCCACCCGAAAGCGCACTATTCGCGAATGTCGAAGCCTGACTGAAGCGATCGCACCGGGAGAACGCAACAGTGTTGGTGATGGTCAGAGCGAGAGCAATGGCTATATCCAATTAGTATTCAACACTCCTTATACACCTGCTGAAGGGGAGAGTGGAAGGATGAACTCACCAACAAGACTCAACCAAATCACACTGCTCAGACGGATAATGGCCAGAATTGCGAGGCCGATCCACAGCGCAGGCGTCACGTACAGACTCAGCCAGAAGAAGCGCTTGTCCGTGGCAGTAATAGTACGGGTGGTGGGATCGGAGGACTCGAAGACCCAGGTGGAGTCGCCGGAGGAAGTGTTGACTTCGTTCCACCAGCGGAGACCGACCAGGCGACGACCGGCGATGTTTTTGAGATAGTAGAAGTCGGCGGAGAGGATGAGGAGGGTGATGATGAAGACGAGGACACTGGTTGCGGTGGTTAGCTGGGTTGTTTGTTTGGATCTAGATTAGATAGCTTTGGGGGAGGGTCCGGAATTGGAGAACGAGGGAGCTATAGTCATGAGATTGATTGTGAAAGGGATTTACGCACAAGTTCTTGATGAAGAGCACGCCGAAGAGGTACATCAGTAGGGCGCTGATGCGAAAGCCCAGGAAGAACAGAAGGGTAATCGGGTGAGCACTGAGACGCCAGTTCAGTTCGCCCTGCTGCGGCTGGAGCGGTTGTTGTTCCATGATGACAGAAAGCGTGCAGGATCAAGACGAGAAGTATCCTCTGATAACAGTCCAATGCACATGAGATAGACGGCAATTAAGCAGCCTCCTGACGAGTCCAGATCATGCGAGGCGGGATTGCGTTGATGCTGCGTGTCTCCAGCCAGGGGGCGGTGGGTCGCGGCAGAATGTGGAGCGGCAGACGGTTACTTACTTGACACTCTTTTCATCTTATTTCTCCGACTCCCCCTCTGTTTCATACGCGATCGGCACACGGGCTCATCCATATTGCCCGGGTTGAGCGTTTAATACGTATGTAAAGCCCATATTCACCACAAGAGAATGGTGCAAGCGCCAATGGAACGAACTAAATACGCGCGAGTCGCGACACCTGCCGGATGAGGTCATCGGCCGGTTCCTGACTGGAGAAGCCTTTATGCGCAAACCGAGGATCTCTTAAAGTTGCGGGTCAATCCGCAACCGCTGCAGCTTCATCCGATATCTCCATTTCTTCAATCCACCGGAGACATTGCAGTTGACTCAGTGCGATAGCCACTCACTATCATCTTTCAAACTGAGCACTCTCCTCCCATCCACAATGGCAGCCAGAAATACCCTCCGTCGCGCCCTTCTCTACAGTACGTCTCTTCCCCCATCCTTAATCTCTTCCCAACCCGCAGCTCTCCCCGCATTTCCACACCCATCCCACCCCCCAACCTGCTATCCGGCTATACCGATTCACCCCCTAACTAACCCGTTCAATCCCAGTCCCGGGCTCCTCCCAGCGCTTCATCGACAAGTCCCGCACTCTAACCGCCGACTGCGTGGCCTACGATCTCGAAGACAGCGTAACTCCGCACAAGAAAGCGGAAGCTCGGTCCCTGGTGCGGAGAGCGCTCGACGAGCCCGCACCGCAGGGAATCCGCGAACGAGCCGTGCGAATCAACTCCGTAGACAGCGGCCTCGCCCTAGGTGACCTCACCGAAGTGGTACGCACCACTCTTTTCCGAATTCCCCTTTACAATTCAATATACTAAACCCAGAAATAGCTCAAATCCCCCAACCTCACCACAATCGTAATCCCCAAAGTCAACACCCCCTCGGACCTGACCTTCGTGAACGACGTCATCACACACACTCTCTCACAACAGCAACAAACACAAGACCCCTCAACCCCCCGAACTCCCATTTCCCTCCTCGCTCTCGTCGAATCCGCCAAATCCCTCACAAACCTCACCCAAATCTGCGCTTCCACGCCCCTCCTGCAAGGCCTCATCTTCGCAGCCGAAGACTTCGCCCTCGACCTCAGCATCACTCGCACCCCATCACTGACGGAGTTTCTTTTCGCAAGGTCGATGATTGCTACTGCTGCTCGCGCTGCGAACCTCCCCTCGACTATCGATTTGGTCTGCACGGCGTATAAATCTACCAAGGGGGACGGGTCCCCGCCTGCGGTGCTGGAGGAGGAATGTCGTGATGGGAGACGGTTGGGGTTCAATGGGAAGCAGTGTATTCATCCGTCACAGGTCGAAACGGCGCAGGCGATCTTTGGACCGGATCCGGAGGAAGTTAAGTGGGCTGTGAGGGTGTGTGTGGCGGATGAGAAGGCTGCCAGGGCCGGGCGGGGTGCGTGGACGCTGGATGGGAAGATGATTGATGTGCCGGTGGCGGAGAAGGCCAGGGCGGTGGTTAGGAAGGCTGAGGCGTGTGGATTCGATGTTAGGGGTTTGAGGGAGGAGTGGGGCCACCAGGAGCCGGAGTGATGAAGATGATTACAGATGATGTGCGTGTCCTTGAGTGAGTGGAGTTATATACAAGTAGTCAAGCCAGTTGACAAATGAGGAATAACTATATATGATGGTACTTGTTGGATAAGGGGAAGGTAGAACCGAAATGAGATCAAGAAAAAGTTTCAGTAGATAGCCTAATGATCACCTCTTACACTCCGGGGCATTAGCTTCCCTACAAGGATCCTTATAAACCCTGGGATTCTCCCAAGCGTGTACGAGTTTGAGCTGGAGTATGGCGTTGCCTTTGAGAATCAGAAATCATGAAAGGTTCCCTTGAGGGTTGGAGGAAATTTCGCTGTGTATTATTGCTTTGACTCCAGGTCTTCGCGCTTCAACAGCTGGATCTTGCCCATAGTCAGGACGGGCTGGTCCGCATCCGCCTTGCCGTTGGCATCGTCTTCCAAACTCTTGGCTAATGATTTATCGTAGCTGGTGGGGTCAATCCCCAGGATGCCTCCAACATATCCGCCCCGCTCGCCCGGGACACTGAACTCGCGGAACAGGTACTTCCATTCATTCAGCCATGCCTTGACGGCCTTGCCGATTTTGTCCTTGCCGTTCTTGGAATGATGGCCCGTGCCCGTGATGGCGTAGACTACTCGCCGGCCTTCACGGGCATGTTTGAGAAGGATCTTCTCCAGGTATTCAATGGCCTCCTCGGGATGCAAGCCATGCAAGTCAACATAGAGTTCCTCCGCGGCATCATCCAGACCAGCGTCCAAGAGATGTTTGTTACGTTCTTCGTATAATTGCCGTGCTGCTTCCCGATGACACTTGCGCATGGCTTCGTTTTCAGCCTGGCCCCGCAGAGACAGGGCTTTTGCGGCTCTTGCGTCATTGCGGTTCCACGCTTGAGCAGCACTATCCGGACAATCAGCTCCAAGCGTTCAAACTTAAAACGAGTATTAACTTACCTCTGAAGGAACTTGTTCCGTACAGTACCATGGCGGATAGCCTCCGTCCGGTACTTGATATATTGTTGGTTCGCTCGGGAACCAGTTTCCAACCAGGGAATATTCTGCGGCGGTGGGATTGCCTGAGCGGCTGCGCTATGCTCACGGCCTTTAGCCCCATCCCGATTGTTCTTAGATGAAGTCTTCCCCTTCCCTGGCGCCGGAGATGGGGACATGCGAACCACGTCCGCTAAAGATGTAGGCATGTTTTCTCTTAAATTATTGTCGCGATTTCCGCGCTTTCCATGATGCTTCTTGCCCGTATTCTTGGCACTGACAGCAGCAAGGGTAGGGAATGCGTCTGGATCATCGACCGATGGGGCAGCCGGGTTCAGCTCACGATGCTGATGCCGACTCCCCGGGCGAGAATGGGGGCGGGACAGGTTGGTCATACTTCCATTCCGCTTGCCAACAGCAAACTGCATGGCCTGAGGCACGTATTTGCTGCCAGGAAACGCAGACAAATGGCCAGGATACTTGCCAAGATACTGGCCAGCCCATTGGTCTCCCATCCCGGCAGTAGACTGCAGAGGAGGGAAGGCCTCTGAGGTACTCTCCATGTGGAATGATGTGCCAGGCGATCCTGTGCCGGGAGTACCGTCTGCCACACTGAGATTCGCAACGAGGGCCGAAGGGTCATGCGAGAATGGACAGCCGTCACCTGCCAAGCAGTTTCCCATAACCCAATACCTGTACGAGCGCGCTGCTATTAGTGTCCTACTCTTGCAAAAACCATACCTTGAGAGGCTCGGAAGTATACTCACTTGCAAAGGTGGTTGGTTAGATCGTGACTGAAACGGCAATCGGCACGGAGACATTGGCCGGTAGACAGCCAGTACTTGCAGACCACTGGACTGCGACTGTTGCTCGGAGGTGTAGCGATCTTGGGTGGCTCCATCGACATGGACTTTCCGACCACAACGTGGCCATCCTCCGCGTGCTGCAAGATGGGGTCACCATCACCGGGTTGCGACAGCGACGCGATCGTCGCGCCTAAGTCGTAGCTGTTGGCTTCCAGAGCCGCCTCAATTTCATCGTTCGATCGCTTGTCTCCCAGGACAGTGCGTAAGATATCATGCGGGCTCATATCGGGCACAAACTCGGGTGCCGTGGCGCTCAGCCCTCCTGTGATGCTCGGGGTCCCAATGGACGAGGTGACGCTATTCGCGTCGTCGGCAACCAGCCAGTCCACATTGCTATCGCTTCCCAAGTCGCCGTGGAAATCGGACACCTGGCTCTGATCGGAGAATTCGTATGCGTTTAGGTTAGGGGAGTGAGGGATGGGTTGCGCAAGAGCTAGTCGAGGCGATGGGCGCGGCGAAGTGAAAGGCGATACGGTGGAGGACAGGGGTGGCCGGGATAAGCCGCCTCGGGAGCTCTGGAGCCAGGAAGTACTTCCGGGGCTCGTGCCTAGATTCGAGTGAGGAGATAATGGAGTCGCAGAACGTGCCATCTGCCAAGGGGCAGGTGACGAGCGACGAATCACCGTGTGACGAGGCGGCGGAGGGGAGGAGTCTGGTAAAGTGCGATTGCGATGGCGCCAGAGGATGTCGAGGACGGCATTTTCTAGAGACGGACCTGATAAGGAGGTCTTTTCGCGTACGAAATCCTCTATTTTCTCGACCTGCTCTTCTTCGTCCAGAGCTTGATCCTGGAGGATGCGAAGACAATCCTCGAGGAGGTCTTCTTGAATCATGCTGGATCGTCGGAGGGGTGTTGTGAACAAAGGAAGGCAGAAGTAGGAGGGCGACGGAGGATACACGGTGTGTGCAGGAAGATGTGGGGTAATCGGCGTTTGGAGATTGGGAACAGTAATCAATCAGATCAAGGAGACAACAGAAGACAGGTCAGATTCGATAATCCACGTCCATGATTTGTTCCCAGGACAGCTGGAATTCATGAAACGAATATAAAAGCTTGATGGAAAAAAGAGGGATGTTAGCAAGGTTGACAGGCGACAGGGGACAAGCTGGAAGTCCACGGGTGATTACATCGCATCAGCCGTCGTGCAATGATCGATGATGACGGGGAGGGGGGAGAAGAGAGTGGATCCGGAAAACGAAGGAAGGAAGGGAGAGAAGAGGAGAGGAGGAGACGGGATGGAGAGATGGAAAAAGGAAGTCCAAAGAGGGAGGACGCGCAAGACACAGAGAAGAGAAGAAGGAGAGAGAGAATAGAAGGAGGAGGAGTTGAGAGGGGTAAAGCCAGCAAGTAGAAAGAAAGAAGGAAGGGGAGAGAAGCAGGAAAGAGGGCAGCAAGCAAGAAAGTCGGAGAGAGCGGAGGGATTTGGCATTGATTGATTGATTGATGCGCTTTCCAAGGAGAGGTTTATTTCCCCCCCCCCTTCAAACAATTACTACGCAGTGTCTCCCGATAAATTTCTCTTCCAACCAACACACCTAAAGAGGTACTCTTTCTATTTTTATTTGTCGTTAATGTTTTTCTTTATTACTATTGACAGGCCATCAACCAAAGCTGAAGCTTCCGGGACGCGATTTGACTCTCAACCAAAGAAACGGCAGCGCTGTCACCGTCCCAGGTTCCCCCTCCCCCCCCCCCTTTTTTGGGGAGGAAATCTAGACTGGCAGCCAATTCCTCACTAAGAATTGGGCTTCCTGGTCGATCTGCCGGACTAAGCAGAAAGAAGACTTGTTGGTTAGGATCGAGATGGAGACGATGGAGTTGCCATAGTGTCAATCCATCTCTACCTATCCAAGTGATAGATTGATTTGTGACTCTCCACAGTCAGGGACATCACCAATGCAGTTCTTCATTCATGCAACTACAACTCTACTACTAAGATGCGATCAATAGAGGGCAAACAATAATACCATCCGTAATCTAAACCCCCCGTATCGAAGGCGTATGAAACAGGCAAAGTGGAACAGTCAGCAGCGATCCTGACTAAGATCGTCCCCGATTTCCGCCTTCAGGCAGACACTAAACTCCACCTTCAAGAGAAATGCAGACGGACTGACTCTCACGAGGTAAGACTGGATGAGCTGACCAATATCACGATCATTCTTTCGCATCCATCTCTCGATCTCTATTACCAAATGCTATTCTAATCCGATCTTGTGTTCCACCTCCCACTGCTACCACCCGAGATCATTCCTCCGTGCTGCAACTAGCAGAAGCTCATTGACCAATTACCGGACAGCTCCCATTTCATCATCGCCTAGCTAGACCGGACGTCCTGGACCCTTCCTCTTCTCACTCCCTCACTCTCTATTATCTCTCTCGCCATCCACTCATGCTTCGTCCTTACACGAGGGCTTAGCTACGCCCTCATTGCTGTTAACTGCGCATCGCCAATCTGAACGACCATTGAACATCTACAGCGTTGCATTCAAACATTACCGAACTCCCAAGTCGCGTACTGGTCTGCGCCCGTCGGCCCATTTCTCTGCACAGGCGTTCATCCGCCTCACCCGATCTCGACATCGAGCCAAGCTTGACTCCGCATATTGAATATCAAGTTAGGATCATACGCTCGACCGCGATTTCAAACTCTCCCTTGGAAAGATGCCAGCGGATTACTCGTCCACCGCCCGGGCACTGTCCGTCTCGACTTCGTCCCCAGAACCTCTGTCTCCGTCGGAGGATGAGGCCTATCCGCCATGGAGCCGAAGAGCACCGGGGAGGCGGAATTCAGCTAGTATCTCCGGCGGACGATCCGCTACCCTCCGAGATCAGATCATAGACCGAGCAACCAAGACATATCACCAGCTCCTGGAATCGTGGCGCAAGATGAATTTCTGGCAAAGGGTAGGGGCGGTGGCCGCTTTCTTATTGGCCAATTTCCTTGGAATAGGCTTTCTTGTCTTCACTGGGAAGGTCTTCATCTGGCTTCAACCCGTGGCGGCACAATGGGAGCATTCTCCTCTAGCTTACGGGGTTCTGTGGTTGTGTGTTTTCTTTGTCTCCTTTCCGCCGTTGGTTGGATGGTCCACATTTGGGACTATGGCGGGCTACATCTTTGGGATCTGGAAAGGGTGAGTTGAGAGTTTTCATTGATGCGCCAGAGGGCTAACACCGCTCATAGATGGCTTCTTTATGCTTCCGCGACTGTGCTTGGGTCGACTTGTTCTTTCATTGTGTCTCGGACAATCCTATCCAAATTCGTCCACCGGCTCATGGAACGCGACAAGAGATTCGCAGCGTTGTCACTGACGCTGAAGTATGACGGCTTGAAATTGCTGTGTATGATCCGCCTCTGTCCGCTGCCCTACTCGGTATGCAATGGGGCGGTTTCAACCTTCCCCACGGTTCAACCGTTGATGTATGGGCTTGCCACGGCACTCATTTCGCCGAAGCTGCTGGTTCCAGCCTTCATCGGTAACCGGTTACGCGTCCTGTCGGAGAACAATGAAGAGATGAGTGCAGGCTCCAAGGCTGTCAATATTTGCAGCATCATCGTCTCTGTTTGCATCGGTATCTTCACGGGGCTGTATATATATAGAAGGTAAGACTCCTGATGTCTCCCTGCATTGACCCAAACATTGAGACTAACGCAATCGAATAAGAACATTGGCCCGGGCCAAAGAGCTAGAAGCGAAAGAAAGGGAGGACATCCGACGCTCGCTGCAAACTGACCATGCTGCCCATCGTCCCCATGGCGCCTTTTCCGAGGATCCTGAAGTCAACAGCGCGGCCGCTCTTCTTGCGCGTGATGAAGAAGAACGCATCGGATTCGGTGACCTCGACGACGACCATGTCGACCTGGCGATTGACGATGAGAGTGGCAGTGAGACCTCCCCCCACCGCACACAAGCCTCCCCTTATCGCGATGAGTTTACCGACAACGATTCAGATATCTTCAAGGATGGTGATGGGGCCCATGAGGAGATGTATACCCTACATACACACGTGCGGAAACCCTAGGGCTCATGGTTGGCCCGGAACAGTCAATAGCGAGGGCGTTGGTGGCTACATGATAGATATCTGCGGTTACGAGTGATGACAGCACACTTTCCGGTTGGACATGACGGTTTATAAATTCCCTTTGGGGGTTTCGTAAATATTATAATTAGGCGAGGGGCCCATAAGAAGCCCGCCTTCTGACTATGCCTCTAGACTGTTGAACACCAGGTTGTGTTAGTACTTGTACAGAGTAGATTTGAAATTTCTGCAGGTAGGTTGACTGAACAGTAAGGCGATCCTCGGGTACTACTGGAGACCTCGCTCACGATGCCACCGGGCGTGGAAAGGAATATTCGCACGGTGGTGACGAGTGCAACGTTCCAAGCAGTGGGAGGTCCACCTTGACGCTTGTGACGCGGGAGGATCCGGGAGCGCAAACAAATATGGGGGCAACGGTCAGATCGCAAAGCAGCATCTCACCGAGGTGCTCTTAGCCAGATCTGACGGACCTTAAGGAAGACAAGGAGAAGCAAGAAAGGGGAAGATGGACGAGGAGTCTTCAGGCTGACGATGGCACACGAAGACGGCCAGCAGGAATGTAATGAAAGTATCGAAAGTATTGGCTGGCCGGACTGAAAATTACGCGGGGTTCCGGCCGAATTTCCCGCCGACTTTCCTTCCCTTTTCGACTCCGACAGCCTCAATGCAAGATCATCCGTTCTACTTGGAGCTGACTCCCTTCTGCCTCTGCATACACCGTGGTTCTTCCCCCCTTGATTCGTTGCCTCCATATCCACCCCTCAGGCGGCGGTGCTCTCTTCCTACTACTGGTAAGTCCGTCGCTACTACTCTCCGTACCACTCAGATACCCCTGCGGTTTCCTCGTCCTACTACTAGTAGGGTTTGCGCCGGTGCCAGAAACAAGCCGACCAACGTGATGGATTCGCAGGCGAGGGACCTGATGTCCTGTTAGCCACTAACTCCACTCGCGCATGTATGTCAACTGGTCATTGCCTGTGTCAGGTTCATGCATACTTGTCTTGGACTTCCCCCAGTATCCACCCGCAAATCAAATATGATATTGAGTGGTCCGCTGATTGATTTGAAAAATAAGATACATTCCACCTCTCTGGTCCAGGCCTTCTCTTCACCCATCCAAGGGACTGATCGTGATGGAGCTCGCCATGGATGAATAGGCTAAGCTTTAACATTCCACAGCACCTCACGAAATGGGTGTCCATAGAGTCAATCAGTCAGTCGTCGTGTTTGCAGCGTAGTAGTTGGTTTCGTGAGCTCTCTGCTATCAGTTCCAGAAGTCTTACAAGGATATACCTACATTCTGAGAGAGTGGCACTCGTCAAAATCCCACTTCTGCTCGCTTACCAGCAACTATGAAACCTGCCGCAGCTGTGGGGACTCGAGGTCCAGATGGCCATGCCTATGAATGCAATCATTTGGATCAATATCATGTGCCCACCAATTTTGGTACCGCTGGCAGAGCATCTTTCCCTTTGCTGGCACCGCGCCAAGCCTTCGCTGAAACAGGTCCCTCTCAATTTCCTGCAAAGCAGCCTGAGGGCATATATCCGAGGGGTCTTCCAAATGGAAATGGATTTATACCTTCTAATCCCACTCCTAATGGAGGCGTGAGGGGAAGTTTTCCTGAAATCAATGGTGTTCTCCGGGGGTTGCAGGATCGCGCTCAGGCAGCAGGCCAAACACCAGAGTCTCATATTTCTAGTACGATCCCAGCAACTTCCAAACATTTGGAAAAGACGCAGGCCTTACCCCCCAATCCCATTCAGAAGACGTCGACATCTCCAGCTAGGACCATCAATATTATGTCTTCGTCAACATCTTCGTCGTCCTACAATAAAAGTGTCGACAATGGATCTATTCAGGCGAAGTACCGGCCACGTTCCTCGATACCTTCCAGGATGCCCGCTGCAGTCTATGCCCAACAATGTGTGGCAGCGGCGTATGCGTCCCGGCTTAATCCATACGCGCTTCACAAAAAGGAACAGGAACTCCTCCAAGACCACATGTGTCATCTACATGTCACTGTCTACTTAAACATTCGAAACGGCATTTTGCGTTTGTGGACTCGTAACCCAATGCTGAGTGTTTCGAAGGAGGAAGCTATGGGTTGTGCAAAGGACTATCGCTGGATGAACCTGGCATCGTTTGCTTATGAGTTTCTCGTGCGCAATGGATACATCAATTTTGGCTGCGTAGAGATACCAGTCGCTCCAGCACACCCAAAGAAGGGTCGACGGCGGGATGGGCCTGTGATTGTGGTGATCGGGGCTGGGATGGCCGGCCTGGGGTGTGCACGCCACTTGGAAGGCCTCTTCAACCATTATCATGACCCGCTCACTTCGCCCCGTGTGATAGTACTGGAAGGAAGACGCAGGATTGGGGGCCGTATCTACTCGCATCCTTTGCGAAGCCTCCAGTCCTCTACCTTAGCTCCAGGATTAGTTCCCAAGGCTGAAATGGGCGCTCAGATTATTGTCGGCTTTGACCATGGAAATCCTTTGGACCAGATTATCCGGGGCCAGCTGGCTCTTCCCTACCATTTATTGCGCGACATATCTACAATCTACGACATAGATGGCTCAGCGGTGGATGAAGCGCGGGACGCAACAGACGAGATGCTCTACAATGATATACTGGACCGATCCGGGAATTATCGCCACAAGTCCGTGATAGTCCCGACAGCAGAAGGTGACCGGGATCTCATCGATTCTGGGCGTGATGTGTCCACTAGCGACGGCCTTACAATAAGACAATACGAAGAAGCCAGGGCTGCTGGCACCATCGGGCTTCTGTTTCCTGCCAAGCGCGTCCGGCGAGGTGTCGGCCACAAAACCGCTGACATTAAACCGGCCGGTGCCCCATTGGCCGATTCTGACAACAGCGAGGAAAACCCAGCTCGCCTTGCCTGCCAAACGATGGGCTGGAGTTTAAACAATGGGGTTGCAGTGAACCAGACCATCAATTTGGACAATGTGGCTAAAGCCTCCCCTTTTCCGACATTAGGCGCCGTGATGGATGATGGTGTGCGACAGTACCAGCGCATACTCCCATTGACTCCGAAAGACATGCGACTATTGAATTGGCATATGGCTAATTTGGAGTACGCAAACGCGGCGAACATTGGCAAGCTCAGTCTTTCCGGGTGGGATCAGGATATGGGCAACGAATTTGAAGGAGAGCACTCACAAGTGATCGGTGGATATCAGCAACTGCCGTACGGGCTCTGGTCGCTGCCTACAAAACTCGACGTCCGTACCAACAAAATTGTCAGCAAAATATCCTATGGCCATACAGAACTAGGAAAGCAGAAGACGGTGGTTCATTGCGAGGATGGTGAGTCTCTCGTTGCGGATAAGGTTGTCTTTACGGGATCTTTGGGTGTCCTGAAACAACGCTCGATAAAATTCTCTCCTCCGCTCCCGGATTGGAAAACTGGTGCGATTGACCGACTTGGCTTTGGAATTATGAACAAAGTGATTTTAGTGTTTGATCAGCCTTTCTGGGACACGGAGCGTGATATGTTTGGGCTTCTGCGTGAACCTAGCAGCCGAAACAGTATGATGCAGGAGGACTATGCGGCGAATCGTGGCCGGTTCTACCTATTCTGGAACTGCATGAAGACTACTGGTCTCCCGGTCCTTATTGCTCTCATGGCTGGTGACGCTGCGCATCAAGCCGAGAACACCGCAGATTCGGTGATCATCGCCGAAGTGACCAGTCAGCTGCGTAATGTCTTCAAGCACGTGGCTGTTCCAGACCCCTTGGAGACCATCATAACTCGCTGGGGTACGGACAAGTTCACTAGAGGAAGCTACTCGTATGTAGCAGCGCAGGCACTTCCGGGCGATTATGACCTGATGGCCAAGCCAATCGGCAACCTGCATTTTGCTGGAGAAGCCACCTGCGGCACTCACCCTGCCACGGTCCATGGGGCATATCTATCCGGACTGCGGGCTGCATCTGAGGTTTTTGAGTCCATTCTGGGCCCCATTGACGTGCCCAAACCGCTTGTTCCGGAGAAGGGCAAGGCTGCCGACCTTGGCCCACCCGCAGCGACGACAGGTCAGAAACGAAAAGAACCTCCCTCAACAAACAGCAAGGGACCATCACTCGAACCCACTGATGCAACAACGAACAATGCAACGCCTGAGGCACTTTATCGGGAAGCGTATGACAAAGCCATGTGGGCCGCCATCTACGAGGAACTGGGGGCGCCACCCCCACGACCAGCACGCACCGCGCTTAACCCGTTCCTACTGTACCAGAAAGACTACTGGGGCAAATGTCGCACGCAGTGTGACGAAGCCCGCCGAGCCGCAACCAACGATCCCAACGCCAAGGCCGCGCGCGACGAGATCCGTCAAGCGCTAGGCCTCATGTGGCGCCAGGCCAGCGAGGAGGTGAAACGACCCTACTTGGAGCAGATAGAGGTCAACCGACAGGCCAATGCGAAGATCTGGGATACCTGGCGTCGCGACAATGCGGAATGGGAGAAGAAGTCGTACGAGGTCAAGGATCGGTGGTGTGCTGCGAATCCATTTGCAAGCTGGGGACAGCCTGCGCCGTCGCAGGAACCAAGTACAACCATTGCTTCAGAGTCTTTCCGTCAGTCTGCGAGTACTAATATGTCTGGTCCTTCGCTGATCTCGCATGATGGCAATGCTGCTGTTGCTAAGACTAATGGGGAAGCTGCTGCGACCGGAGCAGTTCTGCTACCTAGTCAGCCAGAGGCGCCAGCTACAGCGACCACGAATGGCGCTTCAGGAGATAGTGCTCAATAAACCCTTTCTTCCTTACCACCCTTCTTCTAGATTCCCCTACATACCTAACACAGTTAACACCCATCCCACTGCATCCTTTGTATGATTATGACTACTAAAAAAAAAAATGACCCTTTCAGACCGGAAACGAGAAAAAGATAGGTGTAAAAAAAGAATAATTACTCTATAACGTCTTTCTACTCTATTTTGTAATCACATTCACATTCACATTCATGAGATCAGATCGTCGACGAGGATGATGACCGATCGAATCATCGAAAAACCCCCATCTTTGAAAAAGAACAATCCCGTGTATCACAGAACAAATAAAACAACAGAATCGCTGGAGTGAGTCTAATAATATATAAAGCAGCCGTCACGGTAACAGGGGCAAAAAAATGAAAATGCAAACACAGAAATTCAAGCCATAAGCCAATGCCCCCACCTTGGCTAGAGCATAACAATGACAGATCCGTCTAGGTCGGTCTAAATGAAAACTCCACATCTAGATAAGATAATAGAGAGGAGGGGAATAAATATAAGGTAAAGAAGAATTGGAGGTATAGGGGATGGCGATGATGTGAGATAGGAGATGAATCGCTTAAAGCAGAGGGTTAGACTTGTACTCGGCGGCGGCACCCTGACCGTCCTGCTTGACTTCACCGTTGACCTCCTGGGTGGCAGGCTTGACAGCGGCCTTCTCGGTGGAGGTGGCGGGCTCCTCGCCGGACTCGCGCTCGGCGATGTACTTCTCGGCCTCGAGAGCGGCAATGCAGCCGGATCCTGAGAGTTCAAGTTAGTGGGTTGCAGTTAAAGAAAAATGGGTATTGAGGGGAAGCTTACCGGCACTGGTGATGGCCTGGCGGTAGCGCTTGTCCTGGACGTCACCGCAAGCGAAGACACCCTCAACGCTGGTGTAGCTGGTACCGGGCTGGGTGACGATGTATCCGTCCTCGTCGAGCTTGATCTGGCCCTTCACCAGGGAGGTGGCGGGGTCGTGACCGACAGCGTAGAAGAGACCGTTGGCGTCAACAACCTCCTCCTCGCCGGAGACGACGTTCTTGACCTTGAGGTGGGTCATCAGACCGTTGGGCTTCTCCTCACCGAGGACCTGGGTGGCGACAGAGTTGAAGCGGACGGTGACCTTGGGGTGGGACAGAAGACGGTTGGCCATGGCCTTGCTGGCACGGAGCTTGTCCTTACGGACAAGGACAGTGACGCTGCTGCCGTACTTGGCCAGGAACATAGCCTCCTCGGCGGCGGAGTCACCACCACCGATGACGAAGAGGGGCTTGTTGCGGAAGATGGGCACGGCACCGTCACAGACGGCGCAGGCACTGATACCGTTCTGCCAGTACTTCTCCTCGCCGGGGAGGTTGAGGCGACGAGCGTTGGCGCCAGTGGCGATGATGACGGCGTCAGCAGTGTGAGCGGGCTCGTCGGTGGGACCGTCACTCCATTCCGTCCACAGCTTGAAGGGTCTCTGGGAGAAGTCGACCTTGGTGATGGTCTCGGTGATAACCTCCGTACCGAAGCGAACGGACTGCTTGCGCATGTTCTCCATCAGCTCTCCACCGCCAATGCCGTCCGGGAAACCGGGGAAGTTCTCGATGTCGGTGGTAGTGGTAAGCTGACCGCCAGCGGCGGTGCCGTTAGCCAGCATACCCTCATAGAGGACGGGCTTGAGTTCGGCGCGGGAGAGGTAGATGGCCGCAGTGTGGGCGGCGGGGCCGGAGCCGATGACTGTGTAACCCGGTTAGATTTCTTCCTTCGTTCCTCCTTTGCTTGTCATATATTTCCCGAAGGGGACAGGGATCCACTTACTAACGACGTTGGTGTGCACCATTCTGGAGGATGAAGTGGAATTGACGCGCAGGGGCGCCTTGAGGTTATTGGATAGGACGGAGGCCGAGGGCGAGGAGTTTTGTTGCAGGGACGACGCGGCGGCGGCAGTCAATCCAAGAGAAGAACGAAGGGTGGAGAAGGGAAAACGACGAAAGGCGGAGGAAAACAGATTGGCGGTGTTGAAGGGGGAAAGCGATTGGCTTTTTAAGTATGAGTGAGTAGAAGAGGAGGGGAAGGAAAGAGAGAGAAAGCGGAAGAGCGAAGAGGGGGGTTAAATGAATTAATTATCTCTGGGCAGACAGAACGGAGAGGCGAAGAGGGGTGGGGAAAAGGGCTGGCCGGCACGGATTAGCTAAGGGGAAGCGCAGAATTGCAACGGAGTGGGGCAGAGAAAGAGAAGAGAGAGTGGTGGGTGTTGGTGTGATTATTGAGACGCAACCTTTGGAACTGATTGATAAGGTCGAAGGAACCAGAAAGCAGATTCAACAAGTCAGGAAAGGGTGGATGAAGACCAAGAGAGGGCAAGAAGGACTGGCTCACAAATCATCCGCGGCGAGACCCGGTCACGTGCACCGCTTGCTTACCAACCGGGCTGGGCGAGACCCGATTATGTCATTTGGTTATCAATGGAAAGGGTCGGGAATAGCATCACATCACATCATATCATATGAACAAGAATAAATAAAGAATACATTATTCAGTCGTCACTCGTGGAATCATATCACTCATCAGAAAGCATCTCGAACCTCTCTCCTTTCTATTTCGATCGCCCAAACCACTTTTTCCGTTTAGGCACCTCCTTCTCTTCTTCTCCCATTCCCATCTCTCCCGCATCCGGACTCACAGGCACCAGTGTCTCTGGAGGCAACACGCCTCCTTGAGCAATCTCAAACCTCGCTCGCACATCGTCTTCGTCATCAAACCCATCGTCCTCGTCTTCCTCATCCGTCATGCCCTGCTCGACGTCGGTATCTTCCACCGGCGCTTTGTCGGCCTTCTTGCGTCGCACTCCCAGCCATTTCTTCCACCCTTTAGGCACTGATGCCGCAGGCGGATCGTACTCCATGTCTTCGTAGCGTAGAATTGGCACGAGCAACTTGTATGGCGACGTGATCCCCGCCGGATCCTTAGGGTTTAGCTCGAGATTAAGCGTGATAGCCAGGCCACCTTCCAAATTGATCAACGCCCCGAGCCCATCATCACCCCGTTTGGACTTCTGACTGAGGTTGGTGGGTCGTCGCAGGAACGGGCCGGGCTTGGGTTCACCTGCATCATCTGTGTCTGCGGTCGGGAAAGCCCCGTCCATGCTCATCCGACGCGCAGGTGGTGCCTCTCCCAGATTGAAATCTTTGGTGGGAGGCGGGCCCCGAAGGGAGAGTCGTCGCAGAAGCCCGGTCCGGGGAGGCTTCTCCCCGCGAGTGAGAGACAGTGTTCTCTTGAGCTTGGCGGGTCGGGGTTCCTCCTCAGCTGGGGCGTCGGGCGGCGTTCCGGGTGGCGTGGTGCCTATCAATCGGTCAGACACCGAAGCTTCAAACAGTCTTGATTAAAGACGCAATAGTAAAAAGTGGGTCAACTTACCTGGCTTGTACTCCCGAATAGAACACCAATTTCGGCGTGGGAGCAATCGCTTGTTGTTCCGGGGCTTGTTGTTCACATCATGGGTGAAGATGGGAACCATATCTTCGTCCGTGTTGGTGTCCATATGATGCACGCGGTTGCGCTTGTTGAGCATGTCGGATATCATTTCCGTCTCGGGCATGTCAGCGATTGCTGAAGAGATGACGTTTGGCATGTATCGATAATCTCGGTCTTTGGGCACGTCCAATTTGGGATTCGAGTAAAACTGGCCGATCGCCGCCAGATGCACGTCGCCGCTGAAGATAGACTTGGTCAGATATATCCTGCACTGCAGAGGTAGACTAGCTCTTACCTCAAAATGGTCACCCGGACGGATTTCTCTGCCGCAAGATCCTGAAGGTCCTCGATCAGATACGTCCGCTCAGCCTTGTGCCGCTTAGACGTCCAGTGATCATCGAAGATCTCGACTTTGGCGCCGGTCTTGTTCACCAAACCGCCGAAAAGCCCTGCTTTTCCAAGCGACTTCCGGCTGTTGAGGATATTCTTGACCATGGCCTGCGAAGACATTAGCATAGCGCGATAGGGATCAGACCGAAGTCAGTGACATACCACTCGGGGATACGCCAGGGGAATGCCCAAGGACACAATTAAGTGTCGAGTTTCACCTCGAACTATCCCCTGATGGCACCTATCCCAGATCAATTCGCCAGTTTCTTCCGAAATAATCTCGTCGGTCTGGCGGTTCGCTGTTAGCATCACAGTAGTACCTAACATGTCATCAACTTCTTACCATTCGCTCTGTTCGACAATCCAAACCAAGGAAAGCTACTCCATCACCCAGCGACATGAACAGATGCCGACTGCGTTGGTTGATATACGGTCCTGGCTTAGCGCCAAGCAGCCAGCTAGGCTCCTCAGTCTCAGTTTCTTCGGGGACACTGTGGTGCTGGAAGAGCAAGTAGTACTTGAATGCAATATTTCCCAGTCCCGAGATGACAGGCGAGTTCATGAACTCCTCCGGGTAGGAGCCGAATCCCTCGATGATTTCGTGGTCGTTCCACATATTGACCATAGGAATCTGGGAGTTGGCGAGGGAGAACAATCCTTGCGAAAACCAAGACGCATAATTTTCCAGGTAAAAGTCTTCCAATTCTGCCTTGAACTCTGCAGTAAACGGCGCCTCGTATTTCTCGCTCAGGCTCTTGATCTTGACCCATTCCTGGAAGTGGGCGGTTTCCGCAATGACCTTGTCATTGAAAATCTGATCGCCACCACCAATCATGACGTGGAAAGGACGAGTCTGGTGCTCGTTGAGGACATCTCGCCAGAGAGGGTCTGGGCCGCTGAGCTTGTTAGAATCCACCGCGGGGCTGAATCCATTGCCGGTATGGAACATGATGTTCATTGACTGTCCCCTGGCTGGCACCCAGAATCCTAAAGCCGGTCCATGATTCAGACGGTACGCGACCCGCTGCTGAGTCGGGCCTAACTCAATCTCAATGTTGAATTTCCAAAAGGTGACGTCCCGTCCGGGATCAGCATAGAGACGAGCGCCTGTGATTTCTTTGTAGCTTCCAGCAGTCTCTCCGTCCATGGAGTGGATGCGATTGGCCGGGACCGGCTGCTTGACACCCTCACTGCTGTAGTCCATGATACTGGGGGACAATTCAAAGATTCCATCGTCATTCTCAACAAATGACAGATCTTCTCCTTCCGCAGTATGCTCTACAGGCTTGACATACAGAGGTCGTCCGTCCCGGCCCAACTTCACCAATCCTGCGGTTGGGTCAACGTACTCGGGTGCCAATTGAGAATCTCCCCCTCCTACCTGGACGGGCGGAGGAGCGAGAAGGTCCATGGGCTGAGCAAACACCCTCAACGTTGGACGCGGCTCATAGGAGGAGAGTGAGTCTTGTGTGACGATTAGGACACTGCCTCTCCAAGTCTCCTTGTTAAACGGCCCATTGGGACCATCAATTCGGACCCGCTTCAAGCCGGCGTAGCGGAGCAGAGGTCCGCTTTGTAAGAAGATTGATGGCTGAAAGCGCTTGTTACCTGTATAGAATGCGTGGTTAGCAATCAGATAGTCTTGGGTTGATGATCTAGTTTCTTGCTGCTTACCTGTTGGCTTCTGAGCAGACGGCTTCTGGGCAAAGCTGTTGGGCAGGGCCCGACTGAGTCTGCGGTTGCTGCTTTCTCCAGTTTCCCACCAGGCCTTACTCCGATCGGCATCAAAACGTTGGAAGTCGAAATCAGAGGCTCCCAACCTAGCTATAGCTGCAGTCCTCCATTCAGAGAGAGGAGGAGGTGTTGGCGGGGGCACGTTAAACGAGACCTTGGGCTTGGACGGCATATTTGTCTCCGCTAGAGCAGAAGGCATTATTGGATTGTTTACATCCAGTCCACTGTCTACGCTAGCCTTGGCAGGTGCTGCTCCAGTAGGATTCTTCAACACTCCCTGCTGGGTAGTCGGTCCTTGCATAGAAGCCCCCCTCTCCGGGATAACTTGTGGGGGCGACTTAGTTTGATAAGCCGCCGAGTTGGTAACTGGTGGCGCACGGGTGCTGGGCTGAATTTGAACGGCCTTCCTGGCCGGGACGGCCATTCTAGATTGATCAGGAAACGCCGAGTCGGCAGCCGCAGAAGTAGGTGGATACGGTTGTGCATCTCGTTGTTTGCCCTGATTCATTGCCCGCGGGCCCATTGGTGGTCCTTGCGGAGGGTGGCTCACAGATACCGTTCGCCTGGGAGCGTTGCCGGTTCGTGCCATCGGCCCGTCTGGCCGATCCCCATTGAAGTCCTGGATCTCGTCAAAAGCGCGCTCTGCGGCGTCTTGTGAAGGTGGCATTCGGCTGCGAGGCGGCCTGGCTTTTTCGGAAGAGTCTGGCCCTTCGGGGCTGTATCCAGTGTGTCCTTCAGAAGCCGCATGCCGATGATGCGATCGCTTTGCTCCCTGTGCCGGTCTTGACTCGGCCATTCGTCCAGGGACTGCTCTCTTATCCACGCTCTCTAGTGAGTCAGAAGGCTGCGCCATTGCTGTCGCACGACTTTCAGTCTGCCGTTTCATCCGCTCCCTCAGTTTCATCTCAGCCTCTAGAGCGCGTGCCCGCTTCTCCTCCTTGCTCGCACCCGTATAAGTGGTCTCGAGCTTTTGGAGCGGCGAGCGATCGGATGCCCAGTCCCGTCGCTGTTCGGTTGCAGAGCGGACCGTGCTCGACCGACTTACTGGGGATGGCTGACTATTTGAGGATAAAGACGCCTTGTGTGTCTCAGCGCCGTGCTTGTCAGCTCTCGTGGCCGATGATTTCGAGCGCTTTTCAGACCATACTGGGCGGTCCGGCGTTGGTAGATTTTCTCCTTCTTCCATGTTGTCTTCTGGGTACACGTCTCTCCGGTAGCTTTTGCTTCTGCTAGAATATGAACGCGACCTATGGTGACTTTGAACCCTGCTAGAATTGGCTGGGTAGGGCGGCGGTGGCCTTGAATTGTTGGGGTTGGCGTAAAAGTCGTTATCCTCGTAGTAATCCGGCGCAGCGGACTTCACGGCATGGGACGGCTGCCTTTTGTGCGACGGGGCTGTATAAATACCATTGGTGGGCGCCTGCTGCAGATACGTGGGAGCTTCCGTGGGAGGGGCGGGGAAGCGATCTGTAGCCATGTTTGCGGTGTAACTCGCAGCAAACGCAGCAAATGTGTTACTAGCAGCTCCGCTTGTTCAAAGAGGCTCTGGCCAGCGAATGGACTGGAGGCGTGTTTCGGATCGGTGTTAGTCCTTCGTTGGTTCGGTTGATACGTAGTCACTGTGGCGCATTCAACTGGTCCACTTGAAACAATTACCCCGTGAAATGATGGCGATGGAAGTATATGATTGTAATTGATTCAAATTGATCAAAAACCGGAGTGACGCCTCGATTAGTAGTATAGCATTGCAGTTGAAGGCAGTGTTGGCAAAGTATGCACTGCAGGTGGCGGAAGCCTAGTAGTAGCCCTGCCTTGGTACTGGTAGTTTTCCTCACGTTTCGGGGTATATAAGTCGGAGATAATATAAGTACTATGCAGTATAATTACAGATCGGCCGGTGGAGTAAACAATCGGGATACCCGCTAAGCAAAGGGGCCGACGAAACAATAGGGAGGTGAAAGAATGGAAGAATGGGAATGTGAGGAATGTAGGAAGAGGGGGAAGAGGACGACGCAGAGGAGAAGAAAAAAAAAATGGAGCACGGGGGCAGAGGACAATGCCCAACGAGAGGCGTAATGCTAATATACGATGGGGATGGGGATTTGATCGATCGGAGGGGAGATGTCAATCTAAACCGGTGGCTGGTAAAAAAGCCCAGCCCTCTCTCTTCTTCTCTTCTCTTTAACTCGCCTGTTTTTCCTTCTCTGCGGGGCGTCCACCCATGAGCTCTGCCAGGTACACACTGACTCGGCCGTTTTTCTTCCCGCTATATCTTGTTCTATTATTGTCTTATGGATCGTCATTGTGAGGAGATTTGTGAGTTTTCGTTGGGCAGGTGTCTGGCCAAATTACTGCCGTCAACGTCGCCCCCTCTGCCACCTCAAAATGCCTCGTGTACATGTTGGACAGTGTTGTCAGTCTAGCCAGCCGTGAAGTAAATTATTGACAATTGATCTCCTCTGTCACACCTACCTGTCACCCAACATCGTGGTGAGAGTTAAGCAAGGAATGGAGGATGGAAGTATATTGTGCAGCCTAGACACTTGCATCATATCATGGCTGTGCGGGTGTTGCACGGGCTTGGCAAGAAACACCTTACTGGAACCACCACCATTGGATGGCTGAGCTCATTGCCCCAATCCAACGCTCGAGTAGCACTCATAATCGAACCCCAGTGGCTACATGTGTGACTAACTGTTGTAGTTCGATTCTCTGGCTGTTTGAACTCTCAGGTTGTTATGCCTGTTGTTTACGGCTTGCTCTGTCACATGATCCAATGTATCGGTATTACCGAATGGGGTAATCCAGAACGCTGTTGCACTCCAACCTCGTACATCATCAGCACTCCTTGTAAAAGCCTTCGTACTGGGTATTCAGTATATACTGGTCTGCAATGGCATGAGTATTTCCTTTGTCGATATTTGTCACTGTTGAACTTGAGTAAGAGCACCTGAAGAGAAACGCGCTGATATTCTTGTCGACGACAAGGCGATATAGTACTAACACATCGAACCCCTTTGTCTGGCAAGAAGCAAGCCTCTTTGTAGATTCAAAAACGCTTGATGAGAAAGGAAGAGAATTTGTGATGATCGTGGCCTGCGAAACGCGGGTAAATGGCACATACATGGTCATAAGCTGTGACATGAAACAATCAAGTAGGTAGTACTCCCTGGATAGGAAAGCAGATCAGCGCAAATAGTTTCTTTTCGCAGCCAGGTATAAGACAGAGATAATCATGTGACCGAGAGTCTGTATCATTATCTTCAGGCATTGTGCTGCTCGAAAGGGTTATTTTGTCTGATCATCTTGGGGTTCTGGTCCACTACATTGAGGACAGGAGTTAACAATTTGTGCAGGGGTGTAGAAGTAATCATAGGGCAAAGAGGAACCGTGGAGAAGGTCGTTATCCTCAGGGCAGTGGAATCTTCAGAAGTATCTGTTCGACTTCCCCCCTGTGGCATGTTTTCAAGATTCCTCACTGGAGATCGGCTGTGATTTGCTATAATGGCGTACGCTCTGAACAGCCTTATTATTGACACGATATGGTGAGTTGATAAACAATAATAATAAAAAAACAAGGCCATGCCTATTATCCTGCAAATGCGGTTTCGTCAACAAATAGAGGCAAACCCCTCCGAAGTACAGGTGGCATCTTCATAGATTAGTCTAGTCGTCACATTGCAAGGTCCGATACGGGACTGGTCTGCTTGCTTTCTTCGCTTCGTGAACCAATGAGTATATTAGCCCTTGAGATAGATGGTTCAGGTTGAGGAAGGCTATCAGAAAATATATGCCGAAGCTCTCCTTAGAACTAGAATGGGTTTGGGCAGCTCTGGGAGAGTCTATGAACTTTAAATACCAACGTTAATTCTATCAATACATAAACCCGTAAGCTGGAGCTTTGAGAGGTCAAGAATAGCAAAGTAGAAATATCAGTAGCGAAGGAGCTTCATAGTAAGAATCCTGATATAGGCGGTCGCATAGCAAGGACGCCGGATGCTTAAAGTGTTTATATGTCACATGAGTATGGTGCATGAGCAGAACAACACGCTAGGCAAAGAGGAAGCATATGGACTGGAGTAATGGAGCGGTGAGGGAGCCACTTCAAACTAGAACTGATTAGATGGGAAAGCAAAAGCAGATCTTGCCTTTAGTGGATTCAAGAAAGTAATGGAAATTCCCAAGACGGTCATTATCGGATACATCATATGTATAAGCTTGTTCGCGCGGGACTTCCCATAGTGTTGCCGAGACGCTTCATGCTACTATTCCACCCATGCATCGTTCATGCTTCCGTGCACCTACAGTAAGAACATGTTTCTATCGTGCAGCTAGGGTGGACTACTTGAGAAATATACTCTATTAAAAGGCTAAGATTCGTTGCATATCAATAATTGGATGATGGGTTCCCCCTACAACGAATGAGTTTTGTCGCTCATCTGCTCGTTTTTACTTGAGTTATAGTTTCTCCCTGTGATTCTCCTTGGTGTGTGGATGCAACGAAAGAACAGAGTGATCGAAGAGGAATAACACGGAGGACCGAGTTCCTTCCATGTATGATGGCTCTTTCGAAGATATATATGCACGGGTGATCATATGCATTGTCCCAGGGAGTAAGTGCTAGTTGAGGCAATCACTGTTAAGGGAAATGCTCTCTCACATTTCTCGAATGGCCACGTCAGCACGCTGGAGCATCAATGTCTACAGTGTAAAGGAAAATCGGACGCGAAAAGTTCGAGAAAACAGAGAGCTTCTCCGGCAAAGGAGCTGGACAGATTTATGTCAATCGAGCCTCTGTAGTTCTGTTCCGCACTCTGTTGGTTCAATTTGTCATACGCGCTGATAAATTAACTAGTTAACTAAATGAAGCCTTGGGCAGGGACCATACTAACTAGTAATAGTGTTATCTGACCACGGAAAGAGTCCCGCGGTGGAGTCCAGAGTTGCTTATCAGCGATAACCCTAAAAGTCAGCCTTGTCATACTACTGCATATTATAGCAACCCCTAACAGAAACGCCAGCTGGTGGATCCTTCAGTGGGCGGATTCATGTACACTCATCCAAAGCGGAAAAGAACCCGACCTGATTACAAAAGAATCAAAAGGACAATATGTCAGCATGCTTGGAGAGCCCAACTTGTTATGCTTACTTGTTAATTAATAGCTGAATATCACTGCAATAGTGACTCTCTCAAATTGAGACTAAGCTCCGAACAGCCTAGTCCATCGTTAATCTCATTAAAACAGTTTTGAACATTTTTTGAGCTGTTTTCTCTGGTGGCTGTTGCTGGATGACAGCTGCTCTATCTGGCAACCCCCATACAATTTCAAGACTGAATACATCTGGGTAAAAACGCACAATGCAGTCAGAAGGAGAAAAAAACACATACAAGCCAGGTGATGTCGATACTACATCGTCCGAAAGCACACCCAACGATGAAGCAGTACTCGCACAAACAGCCATCTCATCCAAGCCCTTCAGCACTACTCGCGCGAATTTGACCATCGTCAGTCTCACGGGCGTCAGCTTCCTCAACACAATGGGATCAGGAATCCTGACCGTGGCCCTCCCACAAATGGCGATCGACCTCCATCTAGACGAAGACATCCTACTATGGCCCGCATCGGTCTACGCACTCGCAGCGGGTTGCACCCTCCTGCTCTTCGGCTCCATCGCGGATGCAGTGGGTGACAAAATAATATGGATAACTGGGAGTATTCTGTATGCAATATTTACGCTGGCTTGCGGCTTTGCACAGACGGGAAATCAGCTCATCGCGTTTCGGACTCTTTTGGGTCTTTGCATCGCAATGTGCTTGCCCTCTGCAGTTAGCCTAATGACGCGCAGTTGTCCCTCGGGCAAAAGGCGAAACATTGGATTTGCATCAATGGGAATGGGGCAGCCTTTAGGATATTCATTGGGGCTCATCCTCGGTGGTGTGTTCGTTGACACGATCGGATGGCGCTATGGATATTATATCAGTGCTATCATTAATGTTGTCCTATCGGCCACGGCTATCTGGGCGCTGCCCGCTGTTAACAAACCCCACGGGGAGCCGTGGTATAGGCGCATGGCAAAGATTGACTGGATTGGGGCAGTCATCATAAGTGTCTCGCTGGCATTGCTATGTTTCGTGATGGCGTAGGTGTTCCTTCAATCTCCGGCGTTCGACTCTATCTTGCTAATGCAATGTGTCCTGCAGTGAACTCTCCGGAAGTTATCGAAACATTCGCACAGGCTATGTCATTGCTCTTCTTGTTGTTTCATTGGTGCTCATTCCTGCATTCATCGCGTGGATGAACTGGCGACAACGAAAGGGTCAGCCCGCCCTCATTCCCAACAGTATTTGGCGCAACACCACGTTCACCTCGACATGCATCATCGTGTTCTTTACCTGGGCTGTTTTCAATGCCTTTCAATACTTTTCGTCGCTCTAGTAAGTTTACGTTCTATTCCACAAGGAGGATATGGCAAAAGTGGCTGACGAGTATGGGCAGTTTCCAAAACATCCAGCATCATTCTGCTCTCATCTCGGCCGTGATGTTTCTACCCTTGGTGATTGTCGGAGCTCTCACCAATATTGTCACGGGCTACGTAGTGGATAAAGTTGAGGTACGAACATTAGTCTTTGTTTCTGCCTGCATCAGCACTATCTCTGCTCTGTTGATGGCATTGGTCAAACCCAGCTGGGGATATTGGCGGGGGCCGTTCGTGGGGATGCTTCTGAGCCCACTTCATCCGGATGGTAAGTTCTAAATGGATGTGACGGCTAAATGAAGCAAACCACTCTGAATCACTAATCGGGAAATAGTTCTTTTTACCGTCTCAAACCTTATAATCTCGCAAGCTTATCCGGGAGAGAACCAAGGGCTGGCTGGGGCCGTGTTCAATGCCGTCTCACAGATTGGTAACTCCGTCGGACTAGCCGTTAGCGCTGTTATTGCTGGATCTGTTACGGCACATTCGGACGGCAATTTGTTGAAAGGCTACGAAGCGGCCTATTGGCTCATGTTCGCAGCCATGATCGTAGTCTGTTTTGTCAGTTTTGTGGGACTGCGGTCCGGCGGGAAGGTGGGCAGCAAGAAGGAGGAGTAGAATTTTCTGTAACCTATCATGACGATCATAAATCCTATAAGCCCTAACGCTTCAGAGCCCCCAGATTCCGGATCCCTTATCTCCGGCAAACTATAGGATGAAACAACTGTTGTAGTTCTGGCCTCTTACAGCAGGAACGAGGCGGTTTATTGCGTCTTTTTAGCGGCCACGTCATGATATTAGCCCGGTCCAGACGGGCAAGACTGTCTCTGGTAAGGCAATGCCGACGGAGATGCGTAGGAGATGCTTATGGAAGCGGGATTGCGCCGGCGATCCTTCATCTAGTGGTAGGTATTGCAGAGAATTACTGCAGAAACCTGACTGAGTATATTTCTGATTATTGCTCTATTTGCTTTCTTTGGGCACATCTCCGCCTCACGTCAGACATGCACTACCATTTAGATCCTACAATATCCAAGAGTAGCCAATTGGGTGATGTCTGGATCGCCAGAGGACGATAACGATCTTTGTTGAGTGTACCGTCCAACAGACCGTAACGGCTCGTTCACTTCCCCGTGGTCTCTCCGATGAATCGCCAAGAAATATTATATTGGAAAGGCTTATTATTAGACATCCTGTGCTGACTGCACTGCGAGCCGAGAACCCGCATTCAACCGGCATACAGACCCTCGATAATCATACCCCTTCATGCATGTGAGAACTCACACATCCATGAAGTCCGGGACGTCGAGGGAATTTCCATACTTATATTACATCCATAGAAATCGTTATACTTTTCATCTCGAAGTATGTGAACTTAAGTAGGTACACCGGTCCTAGGTTTGGTTTCTGCATAATTGTCAATATCCTGGGTCCCTGATCAACCATGCAACGTATACATCGTCTAATAGTCTGACCCTGTCCAGTTTCCAAAGGCAATCGGCCCCAAGATAAAGCTTGCAAATATCCACTAGGCTCTAATTTGAAGGGCCCCCAATTCTAGCCTTTCTTTTCCATCCTGAAGGATGCCAGTAGTAGGTTCCTACAGCTCCAGATCAGGCCAATGAAGTCAGCGGTCCATGCTGGAGTGGCCAATCGATCGACATTGCCCTATGGACAGTTAACTTCCGAAGGGACTCATCGGAATAGTGTCATATACTTTTGCTCAATCAGGATTCACCGGCAATGCATCATGCTAGGACTGCGTTATAACTCCGAATCTGGTAAGAGGCGGTCTACGTTGGAGGATTGGTTGCACCTTTTGGATATAAAAGGGTACCACGATGCCCTTTTTCAGAATGCTAGTATTACCAGGGCATCTCCCCAACTTTATTTGTCTTACTCTTTTGTGAGGAAGGTCTTATTGTACTTAGATTACTATGTCATCATACAAGGTTGTTATTGTCGGGGGTGGCCCAGTTGGGGCGTTGGCGGGATTATATGCGGCTCAGCGAGGCTTTCAAGTGGAAATTTATGAGATGAGGGACGGTGCGTCTGCCTTACTTTCTGCGCCTCTGGTGCATTTCCCAGTGACATTCTCTTCTAACGGGTGGTTGTACATGTAGAGTACAGTCAAGTCCAGACAGCAACTTCCTTCTCTGCCAAGAGTATCAGTCTGACGCTGTCCGAACGAGGCATCAAGGCTTTACGGCATAGTCAATGCAGGGGCCTGGCAGAGAGAATCCTGTCGACAACTGTTCCCGTCTATGGTCGAATGGTGCACAGCAAGTCCAAGAAGCGACTAACTACCAGGCGAATTGCCTATGATGTTCATGGACAGGTATGTCAGAACCCTCCTCCGTTAACTAATGTCCTGTCTCTACTCCAATTAGGCAGCCATTTCTGACAAAAGCTCATCTTTGTGTAGGCTCTCTATGCTATCAGCCGCTCTGAGATTAACCAAAACTTGCTTGAAGAGTTGTCTGCCTTCCCAAATGTTCGCATATTCTACAAGCACAGACTCAATGGCTTGGACATGAAGCAGAAGTGTGCCACTTTCCAAAACATATCTCGCCCTCTGGAGCCCAGCCATGAGACCAAGTTTGACCTACTAATTGGTGCTGATGGTGCTCACTCCACAACCCGCTTCTTTCTGTCCCGCTATGCCAAAATCAACATCAATCAGAGGTGGGAGGATATCTTCTGGTGTGAGCTTACCATCCCTACGGGGCATGCTCTTCCGATGGACTGTCTGCACATGTGGCCCCAGCGTGACTTTATGCTGTTTGCCTGTCCGGATAAGGTATGCATGCTTCACAAGTCATTCCTTTAAATAATGTGATACTGACTCTCCCTAGGAAGGAACATTGACTTGCAATCTGTTCGCCCCGGAAAAAGTCTTCCTGGAACTGAAGTCCTCCGGGAGGATTGCAGAGTTCTTTGAGAAGAACTTCCCCGGTATCACACCAGACCTCATCCCTACCGACAATCTCCAGAAACAATTCAAGTCCAACCTTCATCACCCAATGATTGACATCCGATGCTCTCCGTATCACTATCAGGATTCATGTGTCCTTATTGGTGATGCCGCACATGCCATGGTCCCCTTCTACGGTCAAGGCATGAACACCGGCTTCGAGGATGTCCGAATCTTGTTCGAGGACTTCCTCGACCAACGAAGGAGTTTCCCTTCCTGGAAAGACAATCTCTCCTTGAGCTATGCGATGCAACAAAAAGAGCTACCCGACACCCCGCAGGCGATTGTGGAAGACTACCTTGAGAAGTACACCAAGTATCGCCAGCCGGATGTCCACATTATAAATGAATTGGCGTTGCAAAACTACAAGGAACTACGACAAGGCGTGTTCAAAATGTCTTACCATATCCGCAAGCATATCGAAGAGTTTCTGAGCCTTCATGCCCCGCAGCTTGGGTGGGCGACGCAGTACCGGCTGGTGGCGTTTGAGACGATGCGATATACCGATGTTTTGCGACAGGTCCGAAGACAGGGAATGATCCTGAGTGCTGTGGCGTGGAGCTGCCTGGTGCTCTTTTTCCTTTTGTGTCTTTTTTCGCTTCACCTGTAAGAAGCGAAGTATTGGTAATGAATCGGGTTTTTGCATATAGTCTGTGGGATAAGTGGGTAAAAGCTTGGACATAGTGTAATTAAGTGTCAGTTATTGATTATTGTTTAATTGAAGTTTACTGAACTTTAAAGCGATGCGAACCCAAATGTGAATACTGCTTTTCCAGTACATGAGATGTTTAGCATTGTTTCGATTAAAGCTTTTCATACTCCAACTAGATGTTGCTTTAATAGGTATAGTGAGTACACTAACAATCGAGGGCGATGATGTGTAGTTTCTCACTGGAAATCTCGTACTTGACATGGTTCAACTTTAGATTCGGTTTAAAGTATATAATCGAAACTTAAGTTTGGGACGGTTTTCACCCAAGATCGACTAACTACCAAAGCGGGGGTTGACCTCATAAGGTCTATCAATTGTACCTGTATACAGCACTAGTACCACCACGATGCAATAATCTTGAGGTAACTGTTTGTGCTCATGCATTATTAGGCGTCCCACCACCTGCATCTCCATAGTCCATACATACTACATACAGTGACTATGCGATGTGACCGGGCCCGGAATAACATGATCTCCGATCTAACGGGGCCAAAAGGGGCAGCCAAGATCTGCTATTCTCAATAAAGCTAGTGGCGGACCACCTGAGGCGGTGATCCTTTTTGGGTGAGGAAAGGGCAAAAAGTGGATCGGCGAAAGGCAAGTTGGAGTCGGGAGTTTGGTCTGCCGCCCCAAGGGCCGCGTATTAGTCTAGCTGCTCTCTCTATTCATTCGGGCCAACTCGTCAACTCTCTCCCTCGCTGTCATTCAGAATTCATTATTTCTCATATCATCTTGCCATTCTTGCCACTTTCGGTCCCTATTATTGCTTTTGATCCTCGGTATCATTTTCCCACCTCGGTGGCGCCCCTACAGACCGACACATACCTGGCCGACTTTCCTTGCTTCTGCCTGTACACCGGGACCCGCCTCATACCCAGTACCTGTTGGTCCATGGCAAGCCTCCTACTTGGCCTGATCACATCGTCCTGAGAGTGAGAGTTCACCCAAACTCTCCCCCCAAACGATGCGTCTTACAGGTGGTGTCGCTGCGGCTTTGGGCCTTTGCGCTGCTGCCTCCGCTTCTCTCCATCCTCATCGTTCCTACGAGACCCATGATTACTTCGCTCTACATCTTGATGAATCCGCCTCGCCGGCCGACGTCGCTCAACGGCTAGGTGCTCGCCACGAAGGCCCCGTCGGAGAATTACCTTCACATCATACCTTTTCGATACCCCGTGAGAACAGTGACGATGTCCATGCGCTGCTGGATCAATTACGCGATCGTCGGAGGTTACGCCGCCGCTCCGGAGACGACGCCGCTGTCCTTCCCTCCTTGGTCGGGCGAGACGAAGGTCTAAGTGGGATTCTTTGGTCCGAGAAGCTGGCCCCCCAGAGGAAACTTCATAAGAGAGTGCCACCGACAGGATATGCTGCTAGATCGCCTGTGAACACTCAGAGCGATGCTCAAGCGCTTGCGGCGCAAAAACGCATTGCCTCGGAATTGGGCCTAGCGGACCCCATCTTCGGCGAACAATGGCATTTGTTCAATACCGTTCAGCTGGGCCATGATCTTAACGTGACGGGGATCTGGCTGGAGGGTATTACGGGGCAGGGTGTCACGACGGCTATTGTCGATGATGGTTTGGACATGTACAGCAACGATCTTAGGCCGAACTATTTTGCGGCGGGGTCTTACGACTATAATGACAAAGTACCAGAGCCGAGACCGCGCTTGAGCGACGACCGCCACGGTACTAGATGTGCGGGTGAAATCGGTGCGGCGAAGAACGACGTGTGCGGGGTTGGTGTCGCGTATGATAGTCGCATCGCTGGTATTCGGATTCTCTCTGCACCCATTGACGATACTGATGAGGCTGCGGCTATCAACTACGCTTACCAGGAGAACGATATATACTCGTGTTCCTGGGGTCCTTACGATGATGGCGCTACAATGGAGGCTCCGGGAACCCTGATCAAGCGGGCCATGGTCAATGGTATCCAAAATGGCCGTGGTGGAAAAGGCTCGGTTTTTGTGTTTGCGGCTGGTAATGGTGCCATTCATGATGACAATTGTAACTTTGACGGTTACACCAACAGTATCTACAGCATCACGGTGGGTGCCATTGATCGGGAGGGTAACCACCCTCCCTATTCGGAATCCTGCTCGGCGCAACTGGTGGTTGCCTACAGCAGTGGCGCGAGCGATGCAATTCATACCACGGACGTCGGCACAGACAAGTGCTCGAGTACTCATGGTGGAACTTCGGCGGCCGGCCCGCTCGCTGCGGGAACTGTGGCGCTGGCCCTCAGCGTTCGGCCGGAACTCACCTGGCGTGATGTCCAATATCTGATGATTGAGGCGGCAGTGCCGGTTCATGAAGACGATGGAAGCTGGCAAGACACTAAGAACGGAAAGAAGTTCAGCCATGACTGGGGATACGGCAAGGTGGATACCTGGACGCTGGTGCAACAGGCAAAGACCTGGGATCTGGTGAAGCCCCAAGCTTGGCTCCATTCCCCCTGGCAGCGGGTTGAGCATGAGATCCCACAGGGCGAGCAGGGTCTTGCCAGTTCGTATGAGGTGACGGAGGATATGTTGAAGGGAGCCAATCTGGAACGGCTGGAGCATGTCACGGTCACCATGAATGTTAACCACACTCGCCGAGGCGATCTCAGCGTGGAGTTACGGAGCCCTGACGGCAGGGTCAGTCACCTCAGTACGCCCCGGCGGCCGGATAATCAAGAGGTGGGCTATGTTGACTGGACCTTCATGAGCGTTGCTCATTGGTTAGTGATTCTTTTGCTCGATTGTCGGTTTTAATGCTAATATCTATCTAGGGGCGAGTCCGGAATCGGCAAATGGACTGTGATTGTCAAGGACACCAATGTAAACGAGCATACTGGACAATTCATCGACTGGCGACTCAACTTGTGGGGCGAGGCGATTGACGCAGCCGAGCAGCCCCTTCACCCCATGCCTACTGAACATGATGATGACCACAGCTACGAGGAAGGAAACGTGGCTACCACGAGCATTAGCGCCGTCCCTACGAAAACCGAGCTGCCTGACAAGCCCACTGGTGGCGTTGATCGCCCGGTGAACGTCAAGCCTACGACATCCGCGATGCCGACAGGTAGTCTGACGGAGCCAATCGATGATGAAGAACTCCAGAAGACCCCTACGACAGAGGCAAGCTCAACAGCAAGCCCATCTCCGACCTCCGCGTCAGACAGTTTCCTGCCTTCTTTCTTCCCCACGTTCGGTGCCTCCAAGCGGACGCAAGTCTGGATCTACGCCGCGATCGGTTCCATCATTGTCTTCTGCATTGGCCTGGGTGTCTATTTCCATGTGCAACGCCGTAAACGCATTCGCAACGACAGTCGGGATGACTACGATTTCGAAATGATCGAAGACGAGGATGAGCTACAGGCAATGAACGGACGGTCGAACCGTTCACGTCGCCGGGGTGGCGAGCTTTACAATGCTTTTGCAGGCGATAGCGATGAGGAACCGTTGTTCAGTGATGAGGATGATGAACCGTATCGGGATCGGGGGATTAGCGGCGAACAAGAACGGGAGGGGAATGAAGAGCATTCTCGGAGATGAAGGGCAAGTAGATGAGGGTCGATCTTATTTCGGACAGTGTTTCTAACTCGTTGGATGACCTGCGTTGAACGATATTCCTGCTGTGTATGCTGCATAGAGAGAGCGTGTATATACCATGTATGTGTGCACCATCTTAAATCATTGATTCTATCATTTATCTATTCTTCATCTGCCGTAGAATCAAGTGGTGGTGATCTCCGGAGTAGAACCAAAGGAACACTAAATTAAGGGTCTTGGCGATGACGCTTCCCGTCGCTGCTTTTGACTTCCTCCGCATCTCTTGTCTCTCCTGCTGTTGACCGCCCGCCAACCAACCTCCATCTCCTCACTCCTCCCACCTTATCCTACTGTCCTGCTTCTAGAACCCCCAGATTAATATAAAAACCGGCTTTTCTTAGCTCCACGTACTGTACCTCGCACTGATCTCCATCTCCACCCACTCCAACGCTACCGACCTAGCCTTCTCTGCCGGCTCCAGGCGGCAGGCAACCCAACCAGCCCCTCGATGGATCAGCACGACGACTTCGACAGCGTCTCGTGGAGGCATGACCCGGACAGTGATCTCTCACGACCTACGACTTCCGGGACAGATACAGAGGAGCAGGAACCATACACTCACGATGTCAATGGCAAACGGAGGATGAGCAACGCTCAAGAGAGCCCCCAGGCTGGGCCACTGGCGGATGCCGTCGACCTGGCGGGTATCGGCGATGGTGTGCTAGAGTGCCGGGTAGATTCGCCGTTGAAAGAGAATGATGGGACAAAAGACGCTTATATTTCATATTTGGTTACTACTACGGTGGGTTGTCTCTATCTATACCTTCAGTGGGCTTTGATTGGAGATGGGTTTGCGGTTGCAGTGCATGCTAACCATAACTGTAGACCGATTTCAAGTCCTTCCAGAAACCCGAGTTCACCGTGCGACGCAGATTCACCGACTTCTATTTCCTATACAAGACGCTTTATCGCGAATACCCTGCCTGTGCCGTCCCGCCGTTGCCGGATAAGCATAAGATGGAGTATGTCCGCGGCGATCGGTTCGGACCCGAGTTCACCACCCGACGGGCATGGTCTCTACATCGCTTCCTGAAACGGCTTACGCTGCATCCCGTGCTGCGGCGCGCGCCGTTATTGGCCATCTTCCTGGAATCTCCCGACTGGAATGCACACATGCGGTTGCGGTCCACGCGCAACTCGACCAGCACCTCGGACGGCAGCGGGGTCCCTGGGATCTTTGACAACTTTACCGACACCTTTGTCAACGCTTTCACCAAGGTGCATAAGCCGGATAAGCGGTTTATTGAAGTGCGAGAGAAGGCGGATAAACTGGACGAGGACCTCAATCATGTGGAGAAGATTGTAGCCCGGGTGGCGCGGCGAGAATCGGATCTCGAGGCAGACTATAATGACCTCGCTACGCAGTTCCGCAAACTAGTGCCCCTAGAACCGGAGGTGGAGGTCCCCTTACAAGTCTTTGCAGCCTCGGTAGAGGAGACAGGGCGGGGGCTCAAGACGCTCAAGGATCACACTGACCAGAATTATCTGGGGTCGCTGCGGGATATGGAGGCGTACATTGTCTCGCTGAAAGCTCTCCTCAAAACGCGCGAGCAGAAACAGCTCGACTTCGAAGCGCTGGTCGACTATCGAAACAAGGCGGTGGCGGAGCGGGACTCCCTCGCCTCCAACCCCTCTTCCTACTATGCCTCCAACCCGCTGACCTCTTCCCCGGCCTCTTTCATCCGGTCCAAGATGGAGGACATGCGGGGTGTCGATCACGAGCAATCGCGACGCGAGCGGGTGCGGAAGTTGGAGCTCCGCATCGACGAGCTCACGCGCGAGGTCGAGTCGGCCAAAACGACGTCGGAGATGTTCGACGAGGAGGTTGTGCGCGAGGTAGCGGACTTTGAACGCATCAAGGCCGTGGAGTTCCGGGATACTCTGGGAGCGTTGGCCGAGAAGCAGATCGAGTTTTACCAGGGAGTACTGAATACCTGGGAACGATTTGTGGCTGAGATGGAGGGTGATCTGGAAGAAGAGCATGACCCAGGCATGGAGGAGAGGTGATCACTTATACTACTGCTACAACCACCATTGCTACATTTAGGTACTATTGATTATGACACTGTGATATCGCACTAGCCATGTTTCTTTTTGTTCGCTTCATGAGGGTTTTGATTCTCTTATTACCATTACGGAAGGAGACTGTTGCTTCATGAATGAAATAATCATCACGACGTTGCACTTTTCTATCTGTCTTTCATTCCTTCTTTTACTTGTCCATTAGAACCCCATCTACCCATCCACCCATCATCCTCATCCTCACAATCACCATGACACTCAATTAATTCCCCACCAACCTCTCCCTAACCCTCTGACTCTCCGCCCACTCCAAATCAAGGGGACTCGGATCCCTCTGCGCATTAGGGTCCACCACTGCCGGATCCAGCGCGCGAGTCGTATGTCTTCGCACGATATTCTACAACAGGGATATACCCCTGATATCAGATACACCCTTGCGCAAGCACACAACCCGAACAAACACATAGTATGTAAGAATCAGGCAATGAAGTCAGGTATGGTACTAACCTCCCGATACACCTGATTCGGCGTCTTGCTTCTATTCTTGTCCTTGCGGGTGTCATCACCATCATCACCGGACATCAAATGGAGGTACACTTCATGATCGTAGTCGATTCTTTGCGATGATGGGTTGGCAAAGTTGGCGGATAGATGGGGTCTTTCTTCTTGTGTTTGGGATTGGGATTGGGATTTGGGTTTGGGGTTTTTGGTTGTAGCGGTGTTTGATGAGGACATCTTTCTTTCTTTTCTTCCTTCGTCGGTATGTATAGTATGGGAATAGGGTTGTTATGTGAGTGAAATGATAGATGGTATTAAAGTTGGAGAGAAAAATTCAATTGAGTTGTAGGGCTGTGTCTGGTACTAATATACTTTAAAGTTCTTCAGGGTTTTACTAGCTATCTTTTCTTTTAGCTTGCTTGAGGGGGGTTGTTTTGCCTTTCTGCAGTAGTGGAATTGGAATGGGTGCATTGTGGCGGAGTGAGTGCATGGTGGCAGTGGCAGTGAGAGTGAGAGTGAGATTTGGAGTCAGGGGGGGAATGGCATGTTGCATTTCGTGGGACTTGATGGTATGCGGAGATGTGTATTTCTTGGATTGATTATTATTATGCAGGAGGAAAGTTAGTATTTGGGGGCGAAAATGTGTAGTATCTTGGGGGTTGAAAGATGACTTACACTTGTTGATGGTAGTTCACGGATGCGGAATCATGTTTGCTCTGTTTGCTTTAGTATCTGGTGATGGCTTCACTTTCCCTTCCACTTCCGGCTTCTTGCTCTCTCTTCCCCGCTGCTCACTGCCCCATCTCCCATCATGCGTCCCCTCTCTCGGACGGCTCTCCGTCCCTACGTCTGCCCGTCTTGTCAATTGGGCCGTCTCCCTGCTCGCAGGAGATATGCCTCCCACTCGCCCTCCAATGCTTCGGCTCCCGAGATCTACGATGTCGTCTGCGTCGGAGGTGGTCCTGCCGGTCTGGGCCTGCTGGCTGCACTCCGTATGTTATTCCAATGCGCTGTATACATCCAATTGGCGTCTGTTACTGACTTCTCTAGGGGCTAATCCCACCACTTCAAAGCTGAAAGTCGCCCTGGTCGAAACTCAAGATCTGAACAAAGCCCGCTCGTGGTCCCTCGATGCGCAGAACTACTCCAACCGCGTCAGCAGCCTGACCCCCTCCTCCGTCTCGTTCCTGAAGAAGATCGGCGCCTGGGATCACCTTGACACATCCCGCGCTCAGCCCTACCAGGAGATGCAAGTTTGGGATGGCGAAACCGGCTCGCGCATCTCCTTCGACTGGTCCATGGAGACCTCTCCGTTCGAAGACCTCCGCACCGTCGCGACCATGACCGAGAACTCCAACCTCGTTCGCGCCCTCCTCTCCCGCATCGCAGCCTCCGGAGAGGACAACCTCTCCCTCTTCTCCAACAGCACCGTCTCCTCCATCACCAATGGCATCGATACCCCCGACGGCCCCGACCTCTCCGCTTGGCCCGTCCTCTCCATCACACCCACCAACACCACCACCACCCAACCGCCCACCCGCATCGCCGCGCGCCTTCTCGTCGGCGCAGACGGCATCAACAGCCCTGTCCGCCGCTTCGCCGACATCGCCACAGACGGATGGGACTACAACCGGCACGGCATCGTCGCGAGCCTCTCCCTCGCCGACCTAGACCCCGCTCCGTTTCCTCTCGGAATGAGAACCGCCTACCAGCGCTTCCTCCCCTCCCTAGGCGGACCCATCGCCCTACTCCCTCTCCCTAACAACAACGCAACCCTCGTCTGGTCTACGACCGTCGAAAACGCCGCCTACCTCAAATCCCTCTCCCCGAAGGCCTTCATCTCCATGGTCAACGCCGCCTTCCGCCTCTCCATGACCGACCTCCAATACATGCTGCGCATGGAACGCCCCTCCTCTACTACAACCGAAAATCCCCACGAAGACGAACTCACCTGGCGCCTCCAACACACCCCGCAGCCCTCCCACCTCCCACCCATGGTCACAGGCGTCCAGGAAGGCAGCGTGGCCTCCTTCCCCCTCCGCTTCCGCCACGCCTCCACCTACGTCTCTCCCCGCGTGGCTCTCGTCGGCGATGCCGCGCACGTCATCCACCCGCTCGCCGGTCAGGGCTTGAACCTGGGTCTGGGCGACGTGGCGTCCCTGGCGCAGACGATCGAGTACGCCGTGCACCATGGTATGGACGTGGGTGATTTGCTCACCCTTGAGCGGTATGCATGGGATCGGTACGGCACGAATGCGAAGATCGGCGGTGCTTGTGATGTCCTGCATAAGTTGTATAATGTTCCGGGTAATGGACCTGTGGCGTGGGCGCGCAGTCTGGGATTGGATGTGATTGATCGGGTGCCGTTTGTCAAGGGGTTGTTGATGAAGGGGGCTGAGGGATCGTAAATCAATCTATGTGTTTATTATGAGGTAGGAAGTGGTCATGTATATTATTACTTTTCTTTAGCAGTACTCTAGTGGTTTCAACTAAGTGTATGATATGACTACATGTGTATGGTATACCAATGCTATGCTCTATACCAACTACTGCTACATTAGACGATAAGATAGTAGTAGTAACCCTGTAAGAAAACGAGGGCACTGCCAGATGGATCGACGAATTTACCAGAAGAGTGTATAATGAGTAAAGAACCAATCTCGCTCCAATTCGACTGCTATCTATACCACACCAAGACAAAAAGCACCAGATGAAAAGCGAAAGATATAAGTGAAAATAAACCCCCGGGTATTGTATTTTAGAACATCTTCGTTAATTTTTTCTTTTTTCCTTCCCACCCTTATACTTTTTTAAGCGGAACGCACGCTCTTAGCACAAACAAATTGAAACCCATCTAAGCCCTGTGTGTATATGGATTCCCATCTCTATGCATCAACCTTCATGTCACCCAACTGCTGCGCAACTCCCTCGACACTCTCTCCCCGCTTCTTAGCCACCCGGGCCTTGACCTCCGCCGGCAGAGCAGTCAGATCGACCAGAACACCTTCCTTCTCGGGGTGTCCGTCCTCCAGACCCATTTCCTTGACGCGGACCTTGCCGGCCGCGAGCTCATCCTCGCCCAGGATGACGGCGAAGGGGACGCCGGCTTGTTCGGCGGCCTTGAATTGTTGGGGGAGCTTGGGCTTGACCTTGTAAGAGAATTCGGCCTGTAGATTATTGTTAGTATATACGATCAGGAAAGGAGGGAGGGAGTATATGGAAGGAGCTTACCTTGACACCAGAGTTCCAGAGAGTCTGGCACACGCTCATCCGCTCCTTCAGCATACCAGTGAAGCCCTTACCACCAAAGGCCATGACGTAGGCGTCGACCTCGCTGCTGCGGAGGGCCTCGGCGCTCTTCTCACGCTCGAGACGGGCCTTGGTGATGGAGAAGATACGGTCCACACCGAAGGACACACCCACGCAGGGAATCTGCGCCTTGGGCAGGAACATGCCCACCAGGTTGTCGTAGCGACCTCCCGCGGCGACACTGCCGACACCCAGGGTCGGGTCGTTGGAGCGGTCGTCGTCTTCCGAGTTGCCGCCCTTGGATTTGCTCTTCTTGCCGGACTTCTGCACGGCCTGGGCCTCCGGTGCGGAGGACGCCACGGCGGGGGCGGAGCCCTCGGTGACGACCTCGTAGATCACACCGGTGTAGTAATCGAGACCACGAGCCAGACTCATATCGAAGGAGATCTTGTCCAGCACACCGAATGCCTCGAGGTAGTCCATGAGCAGACCCATATCTTCGAGACCGGCCTTGGCGGACTCGTTGGCCGTCAGGCCCTCATCCTTGAGGAGGTTCTCAAGGAGTTCGCGGCCGCCCTTGTGCATCACGTATGTCTCGATCTTATCGGCCACGGCGCCGTCCAGACCCTTCTCCTCGACCATTTCCTTGCGCACATCCGCCCAGGGCATCTTGTCCAGCTTGTCGACGGCACTGGAAATCGGACGGATCTTCTCTTCGGGCACACCACAGACCTGGAAGACACCGTCGAGGATCTTCCGGTGATTGATCTTGATGTTATAGCGACCGTTCCAGCCCAGCTCTTCGAAGACTTCGGTGACGATGCGCAGGATCTCGGCATCGGGTACCATGGGGTCGAAGGTACCGGCGATATCGAAATCGCACTGGTAGAACTCGCGCATGCGACCCTTGCTGACGGCGGGCTGATCGCGACGGTACACCTTGGCGATGTGGTAGCGCTTCATGCTGCGGACGTCCGGGTTCATGGCGAGCCAACGAGCGAAGGGGACAGTGAGATCGTAGCGGAGGGAGCAGATTTCTCCACCCTGGTCCTGGAGGTCGTAGATGAGCTTGGAGTCCTCGCCATACTTACCGGCGAGAATCTCGCGCAGCTCGAAGACGGGGGTGTCGAGGGCAGTACCGCCATGGCGCTTGAAGACGTCGGCGATGGTGGAGAAGATGCGGTCGCGGAGGAGGGCGTCGGAGCCGGACCAGTCCTTGGTACCCTTGGGGGTCTTCAGGTTGAAGGAGAGCTTGGATTCCTTTTCTTTGGGCATGGTGGAGAGCGAACGAGAGGGATGGGGAAGGGGAATGGAGGGGGATGAGGAGGGAAAAGTCGAGTGGGAGAGGGAGTTGTGGTAGTGGCGGTGGTGGGGGATGGTGGGGGCTTCGATCGCCTGCCGGATGTTTGGCCGCTCGCTGGTTTGGTGCTGCTGAAGGCTACTACGGCTCTTGCTGGTGCTGGTGCTGGTGCTGCGTCTGCAATTGCTCGCTGGGGCCCGGGGATACTCCGTCAGGGCTCGTCGGGCGGAGCGGAGGATGCGTGGTTGGAGTGAGGGGTGCATTCAAGGAATTGATGTCGGACTCTCCCGCGCAAACCGGCGTTATAGACGGGCAGCCTTAAATTCAGGAGCAAAAGATGTTTTGGAGGTAAAGTCGAAGTCGGCGAATCGGTGGTTGAGATTAGTGAGTCAAACTGTGCATATGGGGGGTAGATCATCTACGATTATTAAGGTAATTACTCTTATCAAATTGACACTTTGGCCGAGTGGTTTAAGGCGCAGGCCTGCTACTACCTTATCGTATTAGCTGTTTAGCCTGTGGGTTCGCCCGCCTGGGTTCGAGTCCCAGAGGTGTCGCATATCTCTTTTTGAATTTTTTTTTTGTCTACCAGCATCATGACCCCAGAATAAATGCATTTATTCCTATCAACTTTTTCTCGGTTCATAGAGTTGGTTTCCTGCTACGCTATGATAAATCACCAGCTATCATGCCTAGCGCTGTGAATTGTCTTTTCGCCCCCAGGCGATGTAGCAGGGATCATAACAAGTCACATCGTAGTTGGAATGCTGGCTAGATCTACGCATTCCTAGTCCACATCTAGAACCTCGTGGCTACGAACGATGCGAGATTGAGGCTGCAAGCGGCAAGACGCTTATCGATGGCCTCAAAATTATGGCAACACTTTAATATGGTGGTAAATATTAGGAAAGGTGTCATCTCATGCACTGTCCGGTATAAGAGTCAATCACAAACTGATGCTTATCCGGAAACAAGCTGGCTGAGTCGTGGAGTTCTCCTGCCAAGGAAGTATTAATAGTTACAAGTATAGCAGGAGATACTTCGCAGTGGGCTAGAAATCCTCACTGAAGGGACACTTTA